GGTTGAATAATAGGGGTTGGAATACTAGGGATAGGTTAATCAAAGGTACATAAGAAAATTTTAATAGAATTCTTTGTCAGCCTCATTTGTTACGTGCATGTACTATGTATAACAAAAGATTGATAGCTAGGTAGTGATGGTTCATGCCTTTTAATTCCAGCACACAGGAGGGAAAAAAGCTGCTAAAAAGAATAAAGGTCTTATGAACTGGGATTTATTCTTGAGACATACTGGTATGTTTTATTAACACTTGGTATTTATGTTCCCAACAGGAAGACGATTTGAAGTGGGTAGAAGAGAATGTTCCTTCTTCTGTGACTGATGTGTAAGTGTTTGGATCATTACTAGAGAAACCCTGTTTCAGTGCTGGGATTACTTCATTATTATTTTCAGTGGACAAACTGAAGAGAAGTCTAATGAGAATATGTATAAAGGAATGCTTAAAAGATTAGGAGTAACATAAAAACAAAAATACTAGAATTACTCATCCAAATGACACCTGTTCAGTCTAAAATCTGTAGGATGTTCCTTTGAAATCTGAATGCCTTCCCAGAGATGTGATGTTAATGGGGCATTAATCCTGCCACATTGTAGAGTATGCTTTATTCTTTCTATAGAACTTGAATGACTCTGACTCTTTTTTTTATTTGCTTTTTCTTTGTCCCCTTGAAGGGCTAATAATAAGATAAAAATTTTAGCTAGTTGTAGAAAAAACTTTAAATTGCATTCATTATTCTGTTGTCCTTCATGAACTAGTTTGTGGCCTTATTAAATGTCATGTTTCTCTGCAGAGCACTTCCGGCCTTGCTGGATTCAGATGAGGTTAGTAATCAAATCATGGATGTTATTTCTGTGGATCTGGTAACTAAATAGCCTTTCATGAATATTCTATTGAGGAAGAGTTGTATTCTTTCTGTATGTCTGGGCACATATAGTCCCTTTTCCAGAGTTACATGCGTGGTCAGACTTATGAATGTTTTCATTTAAAAATTGAGTAACAAGCTGGGGGTGGTGGTGCACACCTTTAATCCCAGCACTACGTGGATGCTAAATTTCCTTCTGAGTTGTAGTCGAGTTATTTAACCTTGGATGGGGCCGTAATGTTTCATTATAATCATAGATACACTGCTGTAAATAATTAACATAAAAAGAATTTGTGGAAAAATATGTTTGAGCCATTTTTATAGAAATTATTTGGAATTTAGACCATTTTAAATTATGTACTTAGAAGAAATCTCTTTCTTCCTTAGGAACGAATGATCACACACTTTGAAAGGTCGAAGATGGAGTGAACAATGGGAAACTGCCATTGAAGATGCCTAGTATCAGGGAAGAGATCAGCTTATGTGTCAGTCTTCTGCCCTGCTCCATGGGATTAAAGGAGGCAATGACATCTTGCTCTGTTCCTTGATCTTGTGCATGGGAGCTGGGGAGAGGTGTCAACCAAGAAGAACAGCTTACTGAAAACACATTCATAGGATTCGAAAAATCTACAAGCTTCTTTACATCATTGACACCCTTCCCTCCCAAACCCCATCATGGCTGTTTTTGCAACCTACGTGTTGTCCCTGAACTTTCTGTTCAGTTGTTTAATCTGTCAGACTAGGAAGTTTAACGTTTCTGAAAGGACTATGTCATCTGCACCATAAATTGTCATCTCTAGGAGCAACTGCCTGTGATTTCATTTATTTAGGAAGTTGTATCAGTGATGGGAGAAATTGTCATTTATCTTTCAGTTTCCCAAGAATTCAAGGTTACATCTTGCAGAAGTTGTTTGAGTGAAATGGGCCCTTCTTAAGGAACCATAGATCCATCAGTGACCAATAGGGAAAGGGAAAAAGAGAGAGAGGGTTACATGTGTTTCAAAATCAAGTGCAATTTTGTTTACAAGTGGTGTATATTAAAGATTTTTCTATTTCAGATGTGCTTTAAGGAGAAATATTAGCTTAACTCTTCTGACATCTGATATTATGACACATCCCATTGCTGGCAATGTGGTGCACACTCCAAAAATTTTAACTACCGTTTAGTCAGCCTCCAAGGGCAGTATTGCAGAGTCACAGTCAATGCTTGGTTATCTTCATGCCATTCTTTGGGATGGCACTAGATGCCAAGACACACTTTGTTTAAGTGCTATGATTCTTCACCCTGAAAGAGGGACTATCATGCTTCAGAAGGGGGAGCTTATAGAAAGGGAATAGGTCCCGTTGCTTTTCAAGCAGTAATCTTTGCATGAGTGGTATGGAGGTCCTGACTGCTGCCCTTTTTTTTTTTTTTTTTTAAATGATCAACTGTTCTAGTATCTGGTGTTGGTTTAGAGACTGCTTATAAGGAGCATCACCAGGTGACGGGATTCACTCCAAGTGCTGTAATTCTGTTTTAACTGTTTTGTCCAGTTTTGCCTTCCCCAGATTTTTGTTCTACATGAAAAGTTCATGCCACTTTTTAATATAAAACTTTTAACAAAATTAATGTCTTTCTCAATTATTTCAAATTTTCTCTGTACACCCTTCTTTTAGACGTTAGTGGAGACTTTGTATTACTTTCATTACAGATTATCTTATTTTCTGTTGAAACCAATGACCACAATTTCAAGTAACTCAGGCCATACATTCTGGTTTGCTTTCATTGCTGTGAAAAACACCATGACCAGAAGTACCTTGGAGAGGAAAGGGTTTATTTCAGGTCCTATCATAATCCATCACTGAGAAAAGCCAAAGCAGGAACTAAAGCAGAGGCCATGATGAAAAAGCTTACACCATGCCTTGCAGCATTCTTTTATATACAACCTGCTCTGGCGTACCGGGGGTGGTACCACCCACAGTAGGCAGGGCTTTTCCACATCAATCATTAATCAAGAAAATGCCCCACAGACTTGCCTGTGGGCTAATCTGATGGAGGCATTTCTTTTAACTGAAGTTCCTTCTTCCCAGCAACCCTAGCTTGTGTCAGGTTGACAAAAAACTAACTGGTACACCATAGTAACATGTTAACAGCATTTAGGGAACATTTCTCTACAGCTTTTTACTATGGTGGCTTTTTTGAAACCTACCTTAGATGGTACCTTTAAAGAACAAATAATGTAAGGAGATGAGTATATTCTAAAGCTAACTCATTGTCAAGGGCCATTGGTATCATGTGTTGCTGTTGTAGGTAAAATTTAGCAGATGGAATAATCATTACAAGTAGCAGGATAGTTGGTCACTTTTTTTTTTTTTTTTTTGGTTTTATGAGACAGGGGTTCTCTGTCGTTTTGGAGGCTGTCGGTCCAGCCTGGCCTCGAACTCACAGAGATCTGCTTGCCTCTGCCTCCGGAGTGCTGGGATTAATGGCATGCACCACCAACGCCCAGCTCGTCACATATTTTTTAGATTATCTAGATGCTAACTTGAGATTTAGGGAAAATTCTGCTGTGCTAAGCAGAAATATAATACACAGTTTATAGCCTTGGGCCTGGCATTATGTTATTGGGGTTGGATATATAGTGTGACTTTTTTGGTTTTGTTGAGACAGGATTTCTCTGTGTAGCTTTGTAGACCAGGCTGGCCTTGAACTCAGAGAGCTGCCTTTCTCTGCCTCCTGAGTGCTGGGATTAAAGGCATGTGCCACCACCACCCAGTTTATAGTGTGACTTTTAAGGAGAGAACAGAGAGGTAATTTGCTACTTGAAATGTGGTCTTGGGGATCAGTAGCATCAGCTATACCTGGAAGTATGTTCAGGGTTCTCAGTTGAGGATCCCATTTTGATCCCGTTGAATCAAATCTACATTTTACTAACGTCTCGTCTCCAAGTGATATGTAAGAAAGAAGCAATGGACCAAGGGACTAGGGCAATGACTCAGATGTAAAGTGTTTGCCACACAAGCTTGAGGATCTGAATTTGGATGCCTAGTACCTATGAGATAAAGGTGGTGCGCTTGCACTAATGCTGAAGACAGGTGGGTCCCTGGAGATAACTGGCCTGCTAGCCTGGCTAACTATAAAATGGGTGGATGTGGTGACACATGTCTTTAATCCTAACCCTCAGAAGTCAGAGGCAGTTGTATGTCTTTCGAGTTCAAGGCATCATGGATTGCGGTGAGACCCTGTCTCAAAAACAACAATAAACAACACAGGCCCTTTCTCATCATATAAAGTGGAAAGCATCCAACCTCTGGTCTAAAGCTGGCCAAGCACAGCAGCTCACCAGAAGTGTTTGGCATGCAAGACATTTTTGTGCATGTGTCTGATCTTTGGGCAAGCTGCTCTAGAATCTATCTGGCAGGTAGAGTCTGGGGCTGTTTCCTCCAGTGCATAATACAGCCCCACACGCAGCCCCTACATTGTGCTGAAGCTGAGAAACACTAGCCTGCAATGGTCTTTATGTTCAAGTGTATGAACTCATCTTGAGTTCATACTGTTCCCCTCCAAAGTTTAAGTTGGAGAGAGGCACAAGTTTGCATTTTTCAAAAGTTGCTGGTATAGGGACTAGGAGAGAACCACTGATCTACATCTATTGACTAGTTAGAGTATGCCAGACTTGATAGGTACTCACGATTGTAGTAAGCCATATGCTGAAACAGTTTCTGTAGAGTAGGAAAGTAAGGCCTGCAACGGTCCATTTCTGGGGGGGGGGGGAGGGGCGGGGGCTACGAATGTCCTAAGTGGCATATCTCCAAACCAAATCTAACACTGAGACAGAAGTTCCTTTTTTCTTCTTCCGGGGGTGGGAGAGCTAGGTTTTGTTTGAGACAGGGCCTCACATAACCTAGGCTGGCTTCAAATTCGCTATGCAAAGCAAAGTATCTCTGAACTTCTGATTCTCCTGAGTGTTGGGATTTCTGGAGTGTGCCATGTCTCCTGGCACTCGAGCCATTGACCCACATTCCCAGACAGCACGAGGTCTTTACTACCTTCACTGCCTCGGAGGACTCCAAGACCAGTTCGGTCCTTCCACAGCAGCTGTCAGGATGGGACCTCAGAGACGGGCGGGGCTTGTTGCGGCGGAAGGGGCGGGCTTAAGCCAGCAGGAAGTCCGGCGGGGAGGATGGCTGTGTTGCCGAAGGTCCTGTAGTGGGGTCCCAGGTGGGATCCAGGTCTTCCCTGTCTTTGGGCCGCAGGCTCCCTCCAGCAGCAGGGGCCAAACGGCGGCGGCGAAGCTCCGCAGCCATGCACGACGCTTTCGAGCCGGTGCCGATCCTGGAAAAGCTTCCCCTGCAAATCGACTGCCTGGCTGCCTGGGGTGAGCCGCGGGCTTCGGGCCAGGGAGGTGGCAGCCCCTCGCGCCTGACAGGAGGCTAGGCGTCTGACCGTGTTGGTGGGCTGAGTTCGCAGACTCTCAGAGAGGGCAGAGATGACAGGACTGTGCCCCCGGGCGGCTTGCACGATCTCTAAGGAAAGAACATTTGTGGACGTTCCTCTCTCTTATACACTGTGCATTTGGAGGTTGAGCTCGCTGTATTAATTGTGCTCGATTGGGGCCCATTCCTGTTGCCAAGTCCTGAGTGGAAAGGGCAAAGCATTGGGAAGTTGTTAGTCTGCCAGGGACTTGAACTTGTTCAAATCAATGGTTGTGGTGTTTTCTAGATGAAAGACGCAGATGGTTTACTGGGCACTGAACACGTTAGCACGGTATGCTTCAGAACCCTTAGTGTTCACTCACAGTGTACTTCTTTACAGTAGATAGCTCACATGCTATCTAAGTGGTTGATTGGCCAAGTGGTGAAATGCCAAGTTACCTGACTCTAAAGTGGAGAGCGTCATAACAGACTGCAGTGAAACCTAACCCATTCGACCTTGTATACTTTTGTCTTGGTATTGGCTAATGCAGAAAGCAAGGGCAGCATCTTTTGTGTGTTCTGGAGTTCAAGAAAGTAAATTTTGGCTCTCAGCTACATTGAGTGCTTTTCCATGAGTCGTTATTACCCGTTACACCCCCAAAGGCTAAGTAGAAATAATTTCAGTCTTTTCTATTAATGCCCACGTCCTAGAAATCAAGGGCCTACATTTAGAAACTCTACTTAGATCTTACACTGTATAAGGTACCATGATGGACCATGTGGAAATCTTGGTTGTGACCAGTGTCCTGTGCATCTATTGATAGTGCTATCCAACCATCTTTGCAGGTTCTTTGTGAACTCCTCAGAGGGATTGAGTTTTTTTCTGTTACTCTGTGTCCCTCCTCTGTAAAATAATACCCCCACAGTAAACTGGCCAGTCCTTCAAATTAGGAATAGAATACTGTTTGCTCCAAACATCTCAAGAAAACCTCATTTCCTGGAGGAAAGTGCTCTCAATAGAAAATAATACACAGAGGGATTCATTTCTCTATTATTTCATCAAACATGTATTATATACCTACCTGGGCTATCCTCACCACCAGGGACAGGAATGCAAAGGTGAATGAGAAATAGTGCCTGTGTACCTAGAACACAGTGAGGAACAAAAGCATGAGGACAGATTATGACACCAGGTAAATGATACCAGAAGTATATGCTACCTATCCCAACATGCAGGGCAGGTACTCAATTCAGCCTGAGACATAAACTTCCAAAAAGGACGATTGCAACTGCTTGTCAAACGCTTAACTCAGCTTGCCAGAACCATTGACTCTGCCCCTCTAAGAGACTTTTTAACTCCACATTGTCAGAGTAAAGATTCCACTTAGCTGAGGTTATAAAAAACAGTTTTGAAATGATAAGTAGCTTATGTCCTGCTTTGACCCCTCACCAAATAGAAGAAATGCCTTCCCTGTCTCCTAGGTAACTGACTGAGGTCAGTGTCAGAGTATGAAAAGGTTGTCTACTTCTTGCATCAAATGATTTCATTTTCAGACTTTAAGTAACAATTGTTGCTACTTTAGCACTAATGACCATTGCTGCTTCTAGTCATTGTCCCTTTTGTGTACATTGTTCTTTTACCTGGGAAGTTCATCCAGTAATCAGATCATGCAGAACCAGACAATTTAAGCTGGAAGACTGGCACAATTCATCTTTCTTCTGGGCAATGGAAATGAGGACATTGATGGTCTCTCCCTGAATTCCAATTATATAATCCAACTTTTTTTTTAAAACATTGGGATGTCCTATAGCATGACCCTAACCATTCTAGATTTTTTAAATGCCTTATAGATGCATTTATTTTATCTGTATGAGTGTTTTGTCTGAGCGTTTGTATGTACATTCTGTGTATGCCCGAGGAAGCCCAAAGGCACCAGCTCCCCTGGAACTTAGGATCTGAAGCTACATATGATTGTAAGCCACCATGTGTGTTCTAGAGCCAAACTCAGGTCTTCTTGAAGAGCAACAAATGTTTTTAGCCTCTGAGCTACTGACCCGGCTCCTGTTTCTAATGCCCCCAAGTACCACCATCATGTATCCCATGTAGTAATAAGAGGGATTTCTTTTTCTCTTTAGTTGAAGCTAAAAGCCTTGGGATCGCAGTTGATGTCTCACATTCTCAGTCTGTCAAAGAATCTGGAGTGTCCGGAACACACCCCCATCTAGTCATTTCTCCTATGTCTGTTACTGCTCTTGATGAAGACTCTGTCTTTTATCTGAATTACCATGGTAGTGTTCTCAGTTACCCGAGCCTGCATTTGCCTGTGTCATTTTCATCTTTTTGTATACATCCAGATAGAGCAAGCCTTTGAAGCAAGCCGAAATCCCATTGCATCTCTCTTGCTCAAACCCTGAAGTGGCATTAACATCACTAGACTAAGTTCCAAAGTTTTCACCATGACTGGTGACATCTGGCATGATCAGGTAGGAGGCTAAGACATGGGGAGTCCAGGAGTTCAGGACCAACCTATTCCATGATGGGAGACACTGCAGACCTTGTCTGGAAATAAGAACAAGCAGATGGAACACGTGAATTGCATATATATGCCTGTATATATTTGTATTTGTGAAAATTGCTCAGTTTCACTTGTATGACCCAGAGAAACAGTGGAAGAATAAATCAAAATTAGTAAATGATACCCGTAGCTTTAGAAAGGACAGGGGTGGATAGAATGGACAGTATGGAAACTAGACTTTTCATAGGTTTAGGTTTGTTTCTGTTTGGGGTGTATACTTGTTAATTTGTTTGAGACAAGGTGTCAGTATGTGTCCCTGACTGACCTACAACACCTTACATAGTCAAGCTGTCCTTGAACACAGAGATCTGCCTGCCTCTGCCTCTGCCTCCTTCATGCTGAGATTTAAGGTATGCATCTCATCCAACTCCCCCCCCCAAACCCCCTTTACACACACTGTAATTAGAAATCAAATTTAATTTATGAATGCCTGTCTCAGTGTCACTGCTAGGAGTCATTAGGTGTGAAGCTAGGGATCTATACTTCTAGTAAGTCTACTTTATTCTGGTGCAGCTAGCCAGGAGTAAGAGCCCCTGTTCTGTGCCAGTGAGCTCATTGCTGTGTAGTCTGTCATGGCTAGCGCTGGGCCAGGACTGAGACTGCATTATGCTACTGGACAGTTTGATCAAGGTGATATGAGCAATAGGCCCCAGCCCTACCCATTTCCTGGGAGATCAAGTCTAACCTCTAGCCTCAGGACTAGGTCATATTTCCCCTCTTTATGACCGGGACTCAATATGGAGCCTGGGCTGACTTTGAATTCATGATCCTCCTACCATTCAAGTACTGGGATTATGGGTGTGGACCACCACACCCACCTCATTGGTAGTTTTCTGGGACTACTCTAGTTTGTTTACATGTATATTACCTGTTTGGGTAATATGTTCTATTTTCTGATATGCCATATTGATTCTCAGGTGAATATCCATTTTATGTTGTTCCTGATTTGCCTGGCCTTTTTTGTTTGTTTGTTTGTTTGTTTGTTTCCTCTGTGTTATGCTCCAACATCTATATTATGTGAGTTTGTGAGCTGAATGGCCATATCATTTCTAGATAGTATATTATAGCATTTTTCACTGTCTTCCAGCTCTTACATTCTTTTTACCTCCTCTTTGAAAATGTTTCCTGGCTGGGGTGGGAGTGTTGCTACAGATGTCTGTTGAGGGTTGAGCACTCAACAGTTACTGTTTTTCAGCACTTTAGCCAGTCATGAGACTCTTCATTAACTATTGTCAACTGCAGAAGAAGCCTCATTGGCCAAGTCTTAAGAGCAGCGTATATTTCCAAGCATAACCATAGATATTTAGAAGGCAGTGTGGTACCCTGTCCATTGAAAAACAGTAGCAAATAATGGTAGCAATGTACTCCCTAGGGCGTATGACCTCCAAAGGCATGGTTTTTGATTAGGTTTACCTCTTGTGAAGCAGGCCTCAAATCTAATCAGAAACTGGTTGGTTACCCCTATAACCTTCATGTCACTATTGTACCAGTGAGCACATCTTGCCTGGTAGGTTAGTATTAGAGCATTCAGGTTCACAGCTGAGTAATACATCGATGACTTTCCTCTCCTAATAACCCGCATAACACCTCGGGTCCATTCCAGCTTGACTTCTCTTACGCTCTGCAACCAAAGTGTTGTGTCTTCAGCACTAGTGTCTTGCACTCTAGTTATGGTGGGAACCCAAGAATGATGGCAGTAGGCTGTATTGTTTGGGGAGCCTCTGTGGCTTTCCTGGCCAGTTACATGAGGTAGCCCACAGCTGATGCTGAAAATTTCATTTAGTAACCAACTTCCTCCTGGAAAAGCATTGTCTATCTATATAGGATGCCGGTGTTCAATTCTTTCTCTTTCTAAAATAGTATATATGTATGCATGTATATTATTTATTTATTAGTTTACTGGTCTAGAATTAACTATGTGGACCAGGCTGGCTTTCAACTTGGAGAATAAATTATATCTTCAATTTGCTTACAAAGTAGTGGATTTCCATGAGGTTTTTCATACATATTTAGTCTTGGTTAGCCCATCCCCACTCCCTGTCACCTCAAAATTAATTTTAAACAATGAAGCCAGGAACTTTTTTTAAAATCTGCTTATGTTTCTAGTCTAAAAATGACCTTACTTGGTAGCCCAGGTTAGCTTTAAGCTCTCTGAAGTCCTCCTGTCTTAGTGGTCCAAGTACTGAGAGTATAGGGTGTGAGCTACATGTCTGACAAAATAAGTATTTTTTTATTGTTTTAATTCCCAACAACCCCTTTTTTCTTCCTCCTCCTTTTCAGCCCCTTCTGCCCTGCCTCCCCCCAGCCCTCTCCCATACACACATAATTGAACGCAGATTTTATATGTCTTACAGTAGGCAGCTACTCTATTATAACTTTAGCTTCCTCAGAATTAAAGTTAAAGAAGCAGGGTTTTCACAAAAGCTAATTAACTTTCTCTGGGCTCTTTTCTAGAGGAATGGCTTCTTGTTGGAACCAAACAAGGACATCTCCTTCTTTACAGGATTCGGAAGGATGTTGGTAAGTGTCTTGAACCAAGAAACAGCTGGCTTGTGGTGATGCAAAAGAAAGCTTTACTAGTTAGCTAGTGTGCAGCTGTGAAAACAGAGATTCCCAGACCAGTAAAGGGGTGACTAGGAGGGAGGACTGTGGGGAAATAGGGAGAATGAGAGTCTCCTGGGATCTCTTTTCTTTAACAAACTATTTCCTACCCTCCTGTGATGGGTGGAGCTAAATAGCACCCACCTTCTTATCTAGGAGATTCACTACCTAATGAGAAATGTTTCTGCTGGGAATAAGAATCCTGTATAAATTCTATGTAATGGTAGGCAAAAGAAAGGAAAAACGGTGAAGAACAGTAGCCATTGGCATGGATAGCAGTAACTTAAGAGGATAGACTAAAGGAGTGCCATCTCAGTTTGTGCCCACTTTACTTCTTGGCCACATGACGGGGTGAGTCCTTTCTGATACCTGCATTCTCTTTGGTAAACTTTGACAAAGTTGTTGGGAGCAGGTACAGCAAGAACAGGCTTGACAGGACTTTAAAAACTAAAGCTCTAATTAGTTGTGACTCTGTCAGTAATGATGTAGAATAATAATTGAAGTGTTTGAAGTGCATCTGTCAAAGACTGTCCCTTTTTTTCTGGTTTCACCTCTGTAGTTTTATTTATAGAAAATGGATGTTTGGGAGGCTGGAGAAAGAGCCCACTAGTAGAGTTCATGCTTTGTCAGTATGAGAATCTGAGTCTGATCCCCAAAACTGTCATAAAACAGTCAGAGCTGGGATTCCAAGACTGGCAGACTTAACAGAATTAGCAAGTTCCGGGTCCCAGTGTCAGACCCTGTCCCCAAAACTAGATAAAACATCATCTGATGTTGCCCTCTGGTCTCCTCATGCACACATGTACATGTGTTCCTGGGCACAGGTGTGCACACACACAAACATGAAAAAAGAAAACTGATGTTTGCATATTATGCCCTAAAACCACTGTATATAGAAACTTGCTGTTCATGCAAGAAGAGGTTGAACTAGGTTGTCATTATTCAACCATAAGGGACCTGAAAATCCAATGATTACATAGTTTCTTTCTTCTTCTTCTACTTCTTCTTCTTCTTCTTCTTCTTCTTCTTCTTCTTCTTCTTCTTCTTCTTCTTCTTCTTCCTTTCTCTCTCCTTACCTCCCCCCCTCTCTTTCTGTGGGTGTGTGTGGGTGGGTGGGCGTGGGTGGGTGAGAGAGAGAGAGAGAGAGAGAGAGAGAGAGAGAGAGAGAGAGAGAGAGAGAGAGAGAGAGAGAGAGAGAGACTGTGACTATATATACATGTGTAGTTAGGGAGGATAGAAGAAGGCATCAGATCCCCTAAGCTGGAGTTATAGGTGGTTGTCAGCTGGCAGATATGGATGCTAAGAACCAAACTCAAGTCCCCTGTAGGAGTAGCAAGTGCTCTTAACAATAAGCCATCTCTCCAGCCCCAGCCATTACAGTTTTCAACCTGGTATATATTTCCTTAGTAATTTAGAGTCAGAGTAGAAAAAGGAGCCTCTTTTTGGAATCTGAAAAGGGGTCTCATGATGTTGGGGAAAAGAACATCTTTCTGAGGCAAGGGAGAAAGAGGAAGGGCCACTGCCCATGGTGTCTTACCTATAATGCTCAGGAGACTAAGGCAGAAGGATCACAAGTTTAAGGTCAGCCTGAGCTGCATAACAAGACCATGTCTCATAATAAAAAAATTAAAACGGCATCACTCATGGTGGCTTACACCTGTGGATTGCAGCACTCAGGAGTCTGAGCTGGGAGAATCATCCATGAGTTCATGGCCCCCTTTGCTTAACTACATAGTGAGTTGATCTCAAAAAGTAAATAGTAAGATCAGGGTCTATGGAAGGTAAGAGGAGAAACCAGAGACTAAAATAGAGAGTTTATTTCATTTCTAAGTTATTCAACTTTCTTTTAAGTCAGGGGTCATCAAGCTTCTCCAGAAAGTTCAAATGAGACAGGAAATTCGGAATAGCAGTTAAGAACACTTGCATCCCAGAAGACCTGAGTTTGGCTCCCAACACACTTAGCTTACAACTTCTTTAACTCCAGTTCCAGAGTATCTGGTGCCCTTTTCTGGCCTCTACAGATAACCACATATGCATATACAGAAACAAATACATACATATAAATAAAAATAAATCTTCTTTGTTTTGTTTTGTTTTGTTTTTCGAGACAGAGTTTCTCTGTGGCTTTGGAGGCTGTCCTGTAACTAGCTCTTGTAGACCAGGTTGGTCTGGAACTCACAGAGATCCACCTGCCTCTGCCTCCCAAGTGCTGGGATTAAAGGTGTGAGCCATCTCCACCCGGTTAAAAATAAATCTTTAAAAAACAATAACAGCAGCAAAACATCCATTTAGTTGCCTGGAGAGATAGTCCAGTGGTTAAGAGTGCACATCACTCTTACAGAGGACCCTTGTTTAGTTCCCAGCACCCACACTGGTCCTTCCACAACCACCTGTAACTCCAGCTCCAGGGAATCTAACACTCCCTTCTGGCCTATGTGGGTGCATGTTCTCTCTCTGTCTCCCTGTCTCTCTGTCTCTGTCTCTGACTCTCTCTTACACACACACAACACACACACACACACACACACACACACACTTAAAAAACTTTTTAAAATTAAACCTTCAAGCCAGGTGGTGGCAGTGCACACCTTTAATCCCAGCACTTGTGAGTTGGAGGCCAGCCTGGTCTAAAAGCTACACAGAGAAACCTTGTCTCCAAAAAACAAGCAAAGTAAAGAATCAGAAAGGCATGGTGTCTCACATGTGTTATAATAGCACTTTGGAACCTGAGGCAGGAGGATTGCCTTGAGTTTGAGAACACCTGGGCAGCAATGTGGGATCCTGTTTCACAAAACAAAATACAAAAATAGTCTTTCAGGCCAGGTGTGATGACTTCATGGCTGTAATGCCTGTGATGTAGAAAGCTGAGGCAGGAGGATTGCTTTAAATTCAAGACTAGTCTGGCTTCCATAGTTAGAGTTTTAGGTATGCAGGTCCATGGAAAGGTGTTTATGTTGCTGTGTTATGAGATGAACTGACTGATTTTTTTTTTCCTAGCACATTAGCTTTGCCTGAAAGACTAATTTTTCAGAGCCACTTGGGATGTTGAGTAAAGGTTTTTTTATTTGTTTGTTTGGGTTATTTACTTATTTATTTGGTTTTTGGTTTTGTGTTTCAAGACAAGGTCTTACTATGTAGCCCTAGCTGTCCTAAACTCACTTTGTAGACCATGCTGGCCTGGAACTCACAGAAACCCACCTGTCTCTGCCTCCCCCTGTGCTGGGATTAATGCCATGTGCCACTACACCCAGCTGTTTTTTATTTTTTGTTTTGTTTTGTTTTTGTTTTAAAGAAGTTACTTCAAAGGAACACAATGGGAGTGTTTGTCAAAAGTTACAAAAGGTAGAGTTTCAACAGAAAGTGAGAGCGTGGCCAGTCAGTGCCTACTCCACAAGCTTGCTGCCTTCTCAGACGTTAAAAGATTTTTAAATTCAGCCAGCATTTATTTGACTAGAAACCACTGCTAGTCTGCTACAAAGGCTTTCCTTTTCCCTACATGCTTGCAGCTTCCACTAGAGACTGGGAGCTGAAGCAGGGGGGCAGATGGGAGGCTTGGGTTTCCAGGGAGAGGTAGGGAAGTGCAGGAGGAGGGAGGGCAGGATGGGGTGTGTGCAAAGGTGGGTTCCAGGCATACGTGCTTCCACACAGAGGCAAGATCACAGGCGACTGCAGGAACACCCAGGAAAGGTGGGTCTGTGAGACATTTCAGTCCTTCCTATCACGAGACGGCCGTCAAGAAGGGTAGCCAGAACCCTGTCTCGTAAAAAAAAAAAAAAAAAAAAAAAAAAGGTAGCCAGGAGGTCTCAGGGTTCTGCCTTCAGGCTCTCCAATACTGAACCAAGACCACTTTGATGGTGGTCACCAGCTTCTGAAACCTGCTCTGGGCACCCAGATAGCCGCCACTTCTTCTTAGAGCATCTACTGTCATTTGAAATTACCTGGAGAGTTATAACAACCTCTCCACAGATTTCCAGAGAACTCATCTTCTAGCTTCCTCTTGACCTGGAAGTACTTTGGCTTGTCGCCTCAAACTCCACAGTACACAACTGGAATGGCCAGTAAGCACCCTGGCTCTGGATCACAGCCCCTGTGTAGTACAAGAGCCTGCTGTAGTACAACCAAGTCCTGGGGACCTGAGGTCTTTCCCTAAAGATTTTTTTCCATTGAGGTTGGGGATGACAGTAATGAGTGTGATGTTGAATATTCTAGAATGCAATATGCAGTCATTTGGAAAACTTGTGACTCGATGAAACTATTTTTCCAGATGCTAGTTTCCAGTTTCAAATCATGCATGAAAAGAGCCATCCAATGCATCACACAGACCAGTGTGTTCTTATGTAATAGAATAAAAAGTTCACTGATATGTCTGAGGGTGAGTCCTTGTTCTAAGAAACACCCTTTGTCAAGTGTATTATCGATAATGAAGATCCAGTTACTTGAAAAAACAGAATATTGCTCTTTTCCAGCTATATCTATGTGAGAACAGATGTTTGTCAAACACTGGCTGTTTCTCTAGCTACTTAATCCTTCAGACACCTCAAATATGATTTTGGAACCTGCCATAGTGCCACATACCTGTAATCCCATCACCTTTGGAGGCTGAAGCAAAAGGTCAGGAGCTCTAGACCATCCTAGACTATATAGCAAGGCCTTGTTTCAAAAAATGCAATGAGGCCCTGTCTCAAAGACAAATCAACCAACCAATGAGGGGCCAATGAGATAGCAGTGGGTGAAGTGCTTGGTTGATGACCCAAATTCACTCCCTGGAACTTGTCTGTGTTAGGGCAGATGGAAGGAACCAACTCCACACGTGTGTACTCCTGCCACAGTGGTAAAATTAGAAAAAAGTGAAAACTCATGTGGCAATTCATGCCTATAATCCCAGGAGGCTGAGGCAGGAGGATTGCAGGAAGTTCAAGGCTAGCCTGGGCTATGTAGTAAAATCTAGGCTACAAAGTAAGACCTTTTCTTCGAAAACATTGGGATAATAATACCAGCTTCTTGGGGTTAGTTGTGAGGTGATATGAAATATAGATTAAGGTCAGTCCAGCACTTTGTACCTAGTTACCGCTTCATAGTAGCTGTCATTATCATAATTGCTCCCATTTTGATTCAGTAACTTCTGTAGCTGAATGTGTTTGTTTCCAGCAAGATTGGGCTCATGTGTCTTTATGGTGTTGACTGTCTTCCCCTTTTTTTTTGCAACAGTGCCAGCAGATGTAGCCTCACCTGAAAGTGGCAGTAAGTGTAGATGCATTCGTGTGCTCTGGCTTGGAGATGGTGCTGTTTGCTCTGTCCTCACAGTGCAGGATGTAGGGCTGCTGCTGGGAGCTAGTTCTAGCTGGAAGTAGACTTTGGGTTGGGTCTCAGGGCTTGGGCTCTCATGTGACTACTACTCTTTACCCGCTTCTTGAGAAACACTTGGCCAACATATTTTGTAGAGTAAGATCTTCAGACTCCAGGTACCTTGCTGCATCGGTAAACATCGTGTGATCTTTTCTGCTGATGCCAAAGGTGCATGAAACCCTGTGCTGTGACCCTGGAGTTCAAAAGCACCTGCTGTTCTCAGAAAAGACAGCTGCCTGTTTTAGACCTCTGACTTGTAGTCTTTTAGGAGCGCACATGATGCCACATTTTTTGTTTTGTATGGATCCCCGTGTTTGGAACTACAGAAGTTTGTTTGTTTCCCATAGGTTGTAACAGGTTTGAGGTAACACTAGAGAAGTCCAATAAGAACTTTTCCAAAAAGATCCAGCAGGTAAGTGGCCATGATCATTGCTATAAGTATCCTTTGGCTTCTATGAGGCTCTGCTGTGCTGGTCTGCTTTTCAGTACTATAATGTAATAACTGAAACAGGCTACTGTAGAAAGAAAAAGGATTGACTGAGCTCACAGTTCTAGAAATTCAAGAACACAATGCTGCCAGCATCTCAGCCATGGTGAAAGCCTTGTGACAGGACACAGCAACAAGGAAAGGTCATAGTGTCACACAGGAAGCCAGAGATGGTTCAGGAAGAGACTTGACGTGATCTAATAGCCTTTCCGCTCTTGAGAACTAATTGAAGAATCCCATGAGCACTAATTCACCCTCTTCTAACTATATATGCCAAGTGACCCATAGACTTCCCGTCAGGCCTTTCTCCTTAATACCACCTCAGTGGGACCAGGCTCCCAACAAACCCATTAGCTATTGAGGGACATGCTCAAGCCCTAGAACTTGATGATGTTATATAATCTGAATCCTCTTCTCTCCGCCCTCTTTATATAGGGAATCTCTGCCTGTGGTCATGTGTCGGAATCCTCTTTTACAATCAGAAACTGTGGTTACACAGAAAAATGAGTCAGGTGTCTGTAACTAGTACAGGCCCTTTCGTCTGATTTAGTCTTCTTGTTACGTGAACTTTTGTTAAACCTTACCAGAAATGTTTAATTGAGTGTAATGATTTGCTATTTTCCAGATCCATGTGGTTTCCCAGTTTAAGATTCTAGTCAGCTTGTTAGGTAAGAAAAGGGGCTACATTTCTATTTCCTGTGTTAACTTGATGGTAGTTAACAATGAGCTGGTATCTTCTAACCAGATACAGCAGGGCATATGGGTAATAAAGGCAGAATCTCCCATGAATTTGAACTCCATCCTTCAAGATTCTCCATTCAATGATCAACAAGTAATAATCCATCCAGTGGTCATGTATTAATATATTATACCCTGTGCAAGCCTGAAGTAGATTAGAAATACTGAGATCAATAAGACATTGTTTCTACCTTTGATGTTTATATTCTGCTTATCATGGCCAAAACGTAGGAAGTACGGACAGTAACAGTGCTGTGGGGTCTGAGGAATGGGAAGGACTGATTCAGTTCCCATAGGAAGAGAGAAGTAGGCAGAGTCTGAGTGGCAGAGAACAACTTCAGCAAGGCTGTCATGTGTCAGTAGTTGTTCCTTGTGGCCTGACTTAGGACACGTGGTGAAGAATGGCAAGCTGTCAAGCAGAGGCAGATGGCGCCAGACTGTTAGAGTCTCACTTGCAAAGTCATTGTTTTATAGGAGGCAGCCAGAGAGAGAAGACTAGAAACTTATCTCACACACTGTACTATTTAGACCGAGGCCTAAATTGCAGAATCATTATAACCGTTGTTCCTAGATCCACAGCTAAACATGTAAGCACTAAATCTTCACCATAGGAACTAGCTAAAAGGCCAGTTCAGTTGTTTTTGTAATCCTTCTGCCCACAAATTTGCTTTCTGAAATTTTGGTTAGCTGTGGTCAACTGTGGGATTGAAGGAAATTTGGCAGTGAGATATTCTGAGAGAAAGAGCACTAGTGTGCTGTTGCATATTATAATTGTCCTGTTGTTGGTTGTTTTTAATCTCTTACTGTGCCAAATTAAGCTTTATTAACAGTAATATGAATAGGAAAGAAATACAGGGGTTGATTTGTCCTGGTTTAGGCACTGATTGGTGTTTTGGAACTGAGTGGATCATGGGAGACTGCTACATTGCTTTGCTAATTTTGCTTAAGCAGAAATCCTTGCCATGGTTTGTACGAAATCCACAGAGTATTTTTCTAATTGGAGCTTCCTAGCTATTTCCTGGATAAATATGCTGACATATTCCCACGCTTAGAGGACAAGTGCAGTAGGAAGTGAAAGTCCCCTTGCTGAAGTCAGAAGATGCTCGCACTGATAGAGTCAGGATTGGATCATCGTTAGTGAAACTGGAGGTCCATCCTCAGCCCGGGCCTGCAGTTCACTTCCCGTAGATGTTACAGTTACTTTTTTGTTGTTTTTAACCTGGTGACTATATTAGCAATTGACTTAGTGACATTGTTCTTCCTCCCAAACAGAAAACAACATTTATGTCCATGACTTGCTGACATTTCAACAAATCACTACAGTTTCAAAAGCCAAGGGGGCGTCATTGTTCACCTGTGACCTCCAGGTGAGTGTGTGTGACGTGAATTTTGGCTTTGGGAATCCAGCATTACCTAAGTTCCTGCCACTCCAAGGGAAGAAGGACTGACATCAAACCCAGCAGCCTTCAGACAAGAATATTTGCTTTGGATTATATTATATGTGGTACAAGGACACAAGACTTTCATTTCTTGTGTGCTGATTAAAATGTCAAGTGTCTGTGTCAGGAGGCTACTAGCCGGAGGTAAAGGCAGTCAGTTGTCAGGCAACCATCAGGGGAAAGCAAGACCCTAACACTATCACGAACCTGTTCGTGTAGTAAATGGACTTGTTCTAAACAAATTACCGTGGTCTTTGTTTTTAGGGAGATTGCGTTGTTCAAAAATGACATCTTTGTTTTTGGCTGTTCTTCAGACTTCCTGGGCCTCTTCTCAGCTGGGATCACAGTTAGCTTTTGGTGGCTCAATCCCCCCCTCCTCTCTACCTCTCTCCCCCCATCCCCCACCCCCCACTCTCTCTAGATTTGTTTATCTATTCATATACAGTGTTCTGCCTGCATGTACACTTGCACACCAGAAGAGGGCACCAGATCTCATTACAGATGCTTGTGAGTCACCATGTGGTTGCTGGGTATTGGACTCAGGACCTCTGGAAGAGCAGTCAGTGCTCTTAACCCCTGACCCATCTCTCCAGCCCCCCTCACTTCCACTCTTAATTGATTTGTGCTTGGAGATTTTTTTCCCAATTCTTTCTAAGTATTACAAGTGGGTTTGCTGTCATTTGCTCATGCTGACCCCTGACCCAGCTCATGACAGCCATGAAACATATAAGGAAAAGGGAGGCAGGAATGGGAGGGGAATGGCACAGTTATAGAATGGAAGACATACTCTGGGATTTTTTTTTTCTGATTGGGAATGTCCGTCTAGAAGAAGTGTTCCTCATCCAGGTGTGTAAGTACTTGGCAGAGTAGCATGCTCCACCCAGCACTGCGGTGGGGTTTCAGGATTTGCCGATTTGTATCCAAGGCGAGGTTGCAGTCACTTGTGCCATGGCATCGTTGCAACCCTCATGGCTTCCGTGTTTCTCCCCCAGCACACTGAGACCGGTGAGGAGGTGTTGCGGATGTGTGTGGCCGTGAGAAAGAAGCTGCAGCTGTACTTCTGGAAGGACAGGGAATTCCATGAACTGCAGGTAAAGTCCACACGCCTGCCAGGTGGGAGGAGTGGAAACTGGTGCAGTAGTTAGCCCGCAGTCTCCTGCTAGGTCCAGTGAGGTTCTCCCAGGCACATACACTGATGCTGTGCCCTGGGGCTTGCTCATGCTTATTGCTGTGTAATTCCACAACATTACCGGAGATTGCTTTATCTTATAGTGTCTCTCACCTTTTCCAGTTCCTGGGCAATTTATATTTTATTGGGTGATTCATATTGTTTGTTGGTTTTCTTTTGTTATTGTTGTTTTGAGATAGGGTTTCTCTATGTAGCCCTCGCTGTCCTGGAACTCGCTCTGTAGACCAGGCTGACCTTAAACTCAGAGATCTTCTTGCCTCTGCCTCCCCAGTGCTGGGATTAAGCCCAGACCTGGTTTATATTTTATTTATATAGTTCACCAAGAATTGTACTCAGGTGGCAGTGTCAGGTATTTTGCAGAATGGAAGTAGTATAACAGAAAGGCCTGGATCCCCATTTAACATCTTTTCAGTTGAATTCATGTTCTCTTTTTTCAGGGGGACTTTAGTGTACCTGATGTGCCCAAGTCCATGGCATGGTGTGAAAATTCTATCTGTGTTGGCTTCAAGAGAGACTACTACCTGATCAGGGTAAAACCTTCTGTTTTTGCCATCCATCCATTTGCCTTGGGAAGGTAATCATGAGTTTATCAGGACAGATGGTCATCGCTTCTGACTACAGATCAGGAGACCTTAAGTAGAGCTTTGGATATAACAGTGTTCCTGTCTGAGTGTGCATCCTTTTTTGTATGTTTGTGCTCTTCGTATTTTCCCAAATCAGGTGTCTGTGTGACTTCAGGCAAGCAGAATTAACTCTCAGTTCCCTGCATCATTATCTACAGTGTCTGACGACTGGGTCAGGGCTCTGTTTGTCTTTGTCTGTCTCATCATCACGCTCTTTCCCAGGTGTCACTGCTTAGAATGACATATGAATTTTAGTGGTAAGTATTTCTGACTTTAGAGTTCAAAATCTCTTACTATATTTGTTTTCAGTTTTCCGTTAATTTGGGAAATCATGTAGGTGTATTATAGAAAATGCTGATGAATAAATAGGGGTGCTGTTCATCCAGATTCTCTGTCTCCCCAAATCAGAAACAGTCAGTGCAGGTGAACGGTGGGAACTTCTGTTCGATTTCACAGCACCTAAAGAAAAAAAAAATACTTGTTATATGGGTCTCTAACCCTGTTTTTAAAATATACCTTGCTGGAGGCTGGAGATGGCTTGGCGGTTAAGAGCACTGGCTTCTTTTCTAGGGGACCCAGGCTCAGTTCCCAGCACCCACATGGCTACAAGAAGCCAGCTGTAATTCCAGCTCCAGGGGATCTGATGCCTTCTTCTGGCCTCCATGGCCACTAGGCATGCGTTGGTACACAGACATAAAACAGGCAAAATGCCCATACGCATAAAAAAAAACTTGCTGTGCAAACTGTTTTAACAACTTGTTTTTTCTACCAGAGTGGTGAATAGCTACAGCGTTGTCTTTTTACCCCACATGTGCCCACTGTAGATAGAAAAAACTTTATAGAGTGATCTGAACCTCTTGCTTTACCCTGGTCTAATAATCCAGACTTGGCAGTTCTAGAAGCCTTCCTCCTTGCTCCCCACAGCGTTAGCTCTGTATTGTTTATCTCTTTGCTATTTTTGTTCCACATTAGTTTGGGGATGTTTTACTGTTGCCAGCACTCGGGGTGCAAAGCCCTGAAGGAGTTGCTGCTCTCGGCTGTGGAGATGCCAACCGGGCATGTACATGCGGAGAGGGGTCTGCAGTGTGGCGGGCCTAAGGCTGGAGCAGGCGTCTAACCTTCTGACTGCCGTGGGTGCTTCCGCCACACCCACCATCTCCACCTTGTCTCTTCGCCTTCTTAAGGGCTCATTTTCTGAGGGTGGCAAATCTTGCTTTAGGACCCTGTCTATTAAAAACTTGTTCATGTCTTGACATACATTAAATTCCATTCCTTTCGTTGTATAATTCTTGGTTTTGACAAATAACTAGGGTTATGTAACTAATGCCACAGTAACATTCAAAGCAAGTCTGTCACCTTCCACATTCCTTTCAACACCCAGACCTCCACTACTAAGGATGTGTTGTCTCTTTAAGTTTTGTCTTTTGTAGACTGTCACATAAACAGAATTGTATCTAAATGGAGATCTTCTTAGCATAGTACATTTGAGACTCATCTGTGTATGTATATCAGTGCTTGCTGTTTTCACAGCTGAGTAGTATTTCATGCTATGAACGGACTGGGGTTTGTTTATTTGTCCATCAGTTGAAGGGTATATTTGTTCCCCCTTTTTAGCAACTCTGAATAAAGCTTCTGTAAACATTTGTATGTGAGGATTTGTATAAATGTAAATTTTTATTTCCCTTGGACAATACCTAGAAGTGGTATTGCTGGCTCCTGTGGTAGGCTTGTGCTTAGCTCTATAAAAAGCTAGCATATAGACTGTCTGTGCCATTTTGCATTCCCACCATCAATGGTGTTCTGTATTTTAGCTCCTAGCATGGGCAAAACCCTGGTTGCTCTGCACTGTAGCGTGGTTGGTGCCAGGCAGATGATTTTCTCTGCTTTTGAAAACTGGTCTTACATTGTGGTAAAGATTGTCATATGAAAGTCATAGTCGCTCAAGTCAAACAAGGAGCATTGTTGACTTCTCTGGTTTGGGTTTATGTAGATTCTTCCGGGCGACATTTATGCCTCTGTCTGTGAAGTGCTGGGTGACTCCCTCATGTCTTCCTGCAGGTGGATGGAAAGGGGTCCATCAAAGAGCTCTTCCCAACAGGAAAGCAGCTGGAGCCCTTGGTCGCGCCTCTGGCAGATGGAAAAGTGGCCGTGGGTCAAGATGATCTCACTGTGGTACTCAACGAGGAAGGCATCTGCACACAGAAATGCGCCCTGAACTGGACAGACATCCCAGTGGCCATGGGTGAGGCCAGCAGTAGCTGCTGCTTTGTCCTTTGGATGGAGGCTGTGTCATCCCTGTAGAATCAGTTCCATCGTGCCTCCAGCAGACCGCCCACCTTTTGCCGCTCACCCCCAGCTCCCCTTCTTTTAAATAGATAGTTTTAGGGACATTAAAAAGGGGATAAGGTGTTTCTAGAAGTTGGGTTTTGCTTCAGAGGGGGAAGAACATACAAAGAAATATGTATTTCAGTAAGTGGTTGTCTGCCATCATTTCCACTTCTTTGTCCCTTTTCTTTTACCTTCCTGTTAATGGTTTTTATTAGTTCCTTTGCCAGACAGTCTGCATTTGGAAATTCCTTACTTATCCCTCTGATATGTATAATTTAGAGGAGCAGACTGTCCTCGGCTCCCTTTCCTTTGCAGTGCTGTTTTCTAGAAGCACGTGGCATGCTTGCTGCACTTTCTTTGCGGTCAGAAACACAAACATGGTTTTGTTTTGTGTTTTGTCTTTGTACCGAGAGACTCTGACTCATGAGAAAGGGTTGCATTTCAGATGAAGAGAAATGACACCATTATGTTCTGAGGCTGGAGCGATGGCGCAGCTGTTGAGAGCCCTTGCTACTCTCCCCTGGGCCAGAGCTTGGTTCCCAGCACTCATGTTCAGTAGCTTACAACTAAATGTTTATAGCTCCAGCCCCAAAGGATCCAGCACTCTCCTTTGGTTTCTGTTAGCACACAGATGCACACACACACATATACATAAATAAATAATAAAATAAACCTTTAGAACCAACAATTTTTATAGTGTATTCTTAGCAAGCCACTAGCTTTACCAGTCTCAGAGCTAAGAATGTCATCAGATAGCATCTAAAGCTTATAGCACAGTTTCCCAGATTTGCTGTAACCTGTCTTCCACCGGCCCCAAGTCAACAATCCTTTATTTATGAATTCTTCTGTTCTATAACTAATAACATCTCATGTAGCCACATTCACAGTGAAATGCAGCATTTAGGGATACAATCCATTCCTAGGCCATAGTCATATTTAGATTCAGAATAAACTCTTTCTTACTCCCTGTGAGGTGAGAACTGTTTTTGTATTGACAGTACCATTTTTTGCATATTAACTTTAGCACATTTATAGATTCTTTTGCTTCACTGAGCACACTAAGCTGGATTGTCCCATTCCTGTCACAAAGTACAGAAAGGAAAGAGTAGGTATGATAGACATTCTTTTAACAAAGTGGAGGAAGAAGTCAGGTGTAGTAGTGCATACCTATAATCTCTCCTACCTTCCATTAGGCCTTGCTTCCCAACACCAGTGCACTGGGGATTAAGTGACCAGTGTATGAGTATTAGAAAAGACAGGAATGTTCCGTTTGTAGCAAGCATTAAGTGGAGTTGGTATCCTTTCTCTGAAAATCTCAAGCAGAACTTTGGCAAGTGTAAGGGAGGGAAAAAAGAACTTCCTTCCTCCTGTTCTCCCTAGGAGAGGGGCAAGGCAGTTCTGCAGCCCAGTTCCCTTGCTCCTGCATTGGCAGGACAGCTGCACTCTATGTTTATCTGACCTGGCTTTGTGACAGATGGGAAGAGGACACAGGAAGCTTTTATACAGTGGAGCTGGTCCAGCCATGTTAGCAAAGCTCAGTGTAGCTCTGCTATGTAAGCGATGTCTCTTGATATTACTCAAGCAAGCAGGGGTCCTCTTTCTTGTGAATTGCAGTGAAGGGTCCTCCTGTCTTGGTGCTTGACTTGAGGGTTTTTTGTTTTTTGAGATCTATTTACATCACCTTCAAGTGAGCAACTGAATCCAAGCCCATCCTAGCCCAAAGCCTTCAACCAGAACACAAGCTGAACATGTCCTCTCTTGCAGAGCACCAGCCCCCATACATCATTGCAGTGTTGCCCCGATACGTGGAGATCCGAACCCTCGAACCAAGGCTTCTGGTTCAGAGCACTGAGTTGCAAAGGCCCCGCTTCATTACCTCAGGGGGGTAAGGAATTTCTTCACTGTGACTGCTTTGCTCCCAAGTCCCTGTACCATTGTAAATCCCATGCCCTCTTACCAATATTCTTCTGCCTCCAGATCAAACATTATCTATGTGGCCAGCAATCATTTTGTTTGGAGACTCATTCCTGTCCCCATGGCAACTCAAATCCAACAGCTTCTCCAGGACAAGCAGTTTGAACTGGCTCTGCAACTCGCAGTAAGTCTTGTTCCTTAGATTTGGGAGGCAAACTGCTTTCCTCATCATTCTCTAAGCAGCTGAACATGGTATAAATATTTGTATTTAGATGTATTTAGATCTGTATTTATATAAATAAAGAATAAGCTGGAAGCCTAGGGACTTTGATAGAGAGTTTGAGTCCACATTCAGATATCTATGTAACTAATGATTTTACCTTCTTGATCTGTAGAGTGAATATCAATTATAATGGTGTCTTCTATAAAGTAGTGGGAGAATAAAATAACCTAGTAGACATTATATGGTTTGGAAGAATTAAAGACAATGCACACATTAACATATAGTCATAAGTGTCATAATAGTGTCTAGTTGATGCAGCCACTAGAGGGCCCCCTTTTCTTTCAGCAGTGACTTCTAAACCACTCTGCAGCCTTCTGTTTACTGTGGCCACTGGGCCAGTCAGCTTTTTGTCACTGTAGCAACAGACATCTTAGGAAAAGAGGAGTTTATTTACCTCACATTTTCAGAGGTCCAAAGTCCAAACGGCATAGTGCAGGCCCCATGGCAAGGGCCACTCCTTGGCTTTGCTACTGCCTGGAACAGATAGAAATACAAGGATATACAATCAGTTACACCATGAGCATACAAGGGGAATCAGGGCTCCTTTCTCTCAAGCATGTCTTTTGTCCCGAGTGACCTGAAAACCTTCCACTAAGCCCCACATCTTGAAGGTCCACCCTCATTCCTCAGTATTGCCACCATAGGAAACACATTCCCAACGCTGGAATCTATTGGGAGCCACAAAGCACATTCAGCTAATTGTATGCCCTCTCATTTGTATTCATGTGGACTGGTGTTCCCAACAAAGCACAGTGTGTCTTGTTCTGTTTTTCTCTCCCATTGCTAGTGACTTTTTTTCTCTTTTTAGTTTTTGTGGCAAGGCTGTGTAGCCCATGCTGGTCTCAATCTTGTGGTAGTCTGCCCGCCTCATCCTCCAAGTGCTGGGATTACCATCATACGCTGACACATGTGACTTATGCGATATTTTTTATTATACGTAGAAAGTGGATTTAATTTCCAGAAGTGACCATAAGTCTCTGGACCTAACCTGGGCATTAGACTGGACAAAGGATTTGGTGATGATAATAGTAAGCTTGATTTCTAGATGGTCTTCAAGGTCTAGACTGTCTCTGAAGGAAAAGAGTGATTGCCTTTGACTACTTGTGGTGGCTGCTTTTGTACATGGGTGTGTACTGGTGCATATGCACCAGTATGCATGTGCATGGGTGTGTACTGGTGCATATGCACCAATATGCATGTGTGCATGGAGGCTAGAGGCCTCAGGCGCTGTACCTCAGGACAGCCATCCAGCAAGCCTCCCCCCCCCCCAATAGAGTCTCTGAGTGGGACCTGGGCCTCATTAGTTTGCTAGAGCCCTAGGGAGCTTCCTCTGTCTACCTCCCCAGTGCTGAGATTGCAAGCAGGTACCACCACACCAGCCTTTTTACATGGGTCTTAGGGATCAAACCTGGGTCCTTGTGCTTGCCATGAAAACATTCTATGGACTGAGTTATTTCTCCAGCCCATAGTGGCTGTTTTGAAAAGCAACTTTTGTGTGTTAAATTATAAATCCTACTTTAAAATGCTAATTTTCAAGCTTTCCTACATGTATATATTGTATGTCGCGTATACTGTGCCTTATATTCTGTGTGTCCCTTTTTTCACTCCCCCCAACACTGCTCCCCTTTGTCCTCTAGACAGTTTTACTTCTACTTTAATGTTATGCATACACACACACAAGCACACATAGGAGGCGCAATTTTATGTATCTTTATAAAATCTAGGAACCATAAATGAGGAAAAAAGGTATACATTTATATCTCTGAGGCTGACATAACTCACTTAATTTATTTCCAGTTACCTTCATATTCCCGAACATAACAGAACATTGTTCTTCTTTATGGCTGACACCAAAATCCCATTGTGTACCCATGCCCCATTTCCTTTTCCTTTCCTCTGTTGTCATCCGTCTAGGTCGGTTCTATAACTTAATTGTTGTGAATGGTGCTGCAGTAGACACTGGTGTGCAAGTGTCTCTGGGGTGTGTTGACTTGAAGCCCTCCATACCCAGGAGTGGTGAAGCTGGGTCATGTGGAAGATGAGTGTGAAGCTGGTCTCCATAGTGGCTGGGCTTGGCATTCCTGCCTGCAGTACACAAAGTCTCCTTTGTTCTCGCCCTTGCCATCATTTACTGTTACTCATTTTCTTAATGACTGCTATTCTGACTAGGTAAGCTGGAACCTCAATGTAATTTTAATTTGCATTTCTCTGGTGGCTAGTGAGAGTCAGTATTTTTTTGTATTTTTATTTGAATTCTGTATTCATCTTGGGTTTGTGTGTGTGTGACTGTGTACGCATGTGATAGACAGAGGTTGATGTTAGGTGGCTTCCTCAGTTACTCTCTACCTTATTGTTTTGAACCTGGAGATAACCAGTTTGGTTAAACTGCCTGGCCTAGGGATCCTCTTCTCTGCCTTCCCAACACAGGGATTATAGTTACGCATAACCTTACCTGCCTGGCTTACTGGGGTGCTGGGGCTCTGAATTCAGGTCCTTAAGTACGTTACAGACTGAGCCATCTCTCCAGCCCCAGTATTTCATCTTTTTAAAAATGTTTTTTTCATGTGTGCCTGGTGCCCAAGATGAACATGACAACCTACCTATAAGTTCAGCCTTGGAAGGTGGAGATAGATCATCCCCCAGAGCAAGCTGGCTAGCAAGACTAGCCATATCAGCCAGCTCTGGGTTTGATTGAGTAAGGTGTAAGAGTGATTGAAGATGATTCCCTGCACCAACCTAGTACTTCACATGCATGCACACACACATGCATGCCACCCAGTCACATGTGTGTGAGCACACGTGCATGCACACACACAAATGTAAAAGGGGGGGGAGTGAAAACAAGTGTGGAATAGCTTTAGAACATTCGGAGTTCATCCTGACTTGAGCAGAAAGTATGTCGTAAATATCTGGGAATAAGCTTGAAAGAGTACAGTTGCCAGGTTTAGAAAGATTTCCATAAACAGTGCAGGCATAGCGTGTGTTGACAATAGTAGGCTAGGGCGATGGTAGAGAAGGGAAGGGAGGAAAGGAGCAGAGAGGGAAGGGAAAGAAAGAAACTGAGAAGCATTTTGTTTGTGTATGTACTTGGTTTTAAATTTTGTATATGTGTATTCATATGTGTGAGTGTATGTGTATTGCAGCACACATGTGGAGATCAGAGGACAGCTTTGTGTAGTGGGCTCTCTCCTTGCACCTATCTATACATGGGTTCCAGGAATTAAACTCAGGTCCCCAGACTTGTGCAGCAAGCATTCTTATCCACTGAGCCATCTCACTAGTCCTCTGAGCGGTGCTTTATTTTATTATCATTATCATTTGGTTTGTTTTTTTTGTTTTTGTTTTTTGTTTTGAGACAGAGTTCCTCTGCTGTCCTGGAACTCACAGAGATAAGCCTGCCTCTGTCTTCCAAGTGCTGGGATTAAAGGTGTGTACCACCACCACCTCCTGGCCTGAGAAACATTTTAAAGAAACAAATTAAATGTAGTAATGTCTGATCAAAAGAGATGTAAGAAGGAAAGGTTAGAAGGAGAGATAAAGCTAATAATAACTCATTTACTAGCCTTTGACTATAAACAGAACATTTCCAAGCTCTTTAAGTCACACAGTCCTTCACTCCTGGAGCATGTTGGGCTCTCAGTCATTCCAGGGCTGTGCATGGGATGTCAAGAGTGCACTTTCTTCTCCAGCCCATTAGTCCCCAGTGAAGTGTGTATTGGCATCCCTTCTGTTCTGATTTCACGTCATTCCCACGTGCTTCTATTAGCCTTTTCTTTTCTCTTCTCTTCTTTTATTTTTGAGACAGGGTCACTCTATGTAGTCCTCACTGTCCTGGAACTCTCTGTGTAGACCACACTGATCTGGAACTCACAGTAATCCCCCTATCTCTGTCTCTCAAGTGCTGGGATCATCATGCCCAGCCCTTATTAGCTTTCTTACCCTATTTTGTTTTTTTGGTTGGTTGGTTGGTTGGTTGTTTTCTTTTCTTTTTTTTTTTAATATTTTATTTATTGTGTATATGTGTATACAGCCTTATGCCTGCAGGCCAGCAGAGGTCACCAGATCTCATTCAAGGTGATTGTGAGCTACCGTGTGGTTGCTGGGAATTGAACTCAGGACCTCTGGAAGAACAGTCAGTGCTCTTAACCGCTGAGCCATCTCTCCAGCCCTGGTTAGTTGTTTTCAAGACAGGGTTTCTCTATATTGCTTTGGAGACTGTCCTGGAACTCACCTATAGACCAGGCTGGCCTCGAACTCACAGAGATCCTCCTGCCTCTGCCTCCTAAGGGCTGGGATTAAGGTGTAAACCACCACTGCCTGGCTAAAAATAAATATAGTTTTTAAATATATAACCAGGGGCTAGAAGATGAATCATAGGTTAAGAGCACTGCTGCACTTGCAGAGGACCTAGGCTGGATTACCTGTACTCATATGACAGCTCAACTATCTGTAACCCAGTTCCAGGGGAATCTGATGCTCTGTGCTGGCCTCCATGGGCACTGCACACATGCGGTACACAGACATATATGCAGGCAAAACACCTGTATACATAAAATTAAACCAGGCAGTGGTCGTACATGGCTTTAATCCCAGCACTCAGAAGGCAGAGGCAGGCAGAGCTCTGTGTGTTAAAGGCCAGCCTAATCTATAGAGTGAGTACCAGGACAGCCAAAGCTGCTACACATAGAAACCCTGCCTTGAAAAACAAAATAAATAAATAAATGAATGAAAGTTTTTGAAAACTATGTAACCAAGTTTTTAATGCAGTTGTTTTAAGAAGTAAAAGTTTTCATTAAAAAAAGTTCGTTGGGCAGTCTGTACATTTTATGTTAGCACCTGTGGTTTCTAGAATGTTTTACCACGTAGAATGAGCAGGGCAAATATTTGGAGAGTGAATGAGCTTGTATTTATTTTGTCTTTTCTTAGGAAATGAAAGATGACTCAGACAGTGAGAAGCAGCAGCAAATCCATCACATTAAGAACTTGTATGCCTTCAACCTCTTCTGCCAGAAGCGCTTTGATGAATCCATGCAGGTCTTTGCTAAACTTGGCACAGGTAACAAGCAGGTGTGGCTTTGACGGGAGTTGCTGGTGGAGGAGAGAGTGGGGATGATGGGGAGGAGTGAGAACAGAAGGGACTCGCTCTCATCACAGTTGATTTCTGTGCCTAACAAGCTCTCATGAGGGGCCACAGTGGGTTACATACTTACAGCCCTACCCTATTTAATGTGGTCTCATCTGGTAAGGCAGGCTCCCAGTTTTCCAGAATGCGTTGTCCTCATCATTAGAGAGAGGTAACACTCATCCGTCCAACAAAGGGTCATGATCAGCTATTGTTCACTGAATGTAGGGCTGGACAGAAGTTTGGGGCTAACCAGTAAGTCATTGTTGAGAGCCAGCATAGGCCAGTGCTGCAAAGCCCTCCCTCTCCGTTAGAGTGTGGTGGGGAGGAGCATGGGCGTGACCTGTGTGGTGGCTTGAATGAGAATGTCTGCTATAGCTCAGACAGTTGAAAATTTGGTCCCCAGTTGGCGGTGCTGTTTGGGAGGTTTAGGAGGAACCGTTGCTAGAGGAAGTGTGTCACTGGAGACAAGCTCGAGAATGTACTCTTGCCATTTCGCTTTCACTCTCCTCAGCTTCTGCTCTAGCCACCGTGTCTGCTGCTTGTTGCCACCCCTGTCACGACAGACTCTTATCCCCCCAGAATCTTAAGCCACTCCTGTATGTTGCCTTGGTCATGTGGCAGCAGTAGAGAGTAACTGATACAGTGCAAAGCACTGGACTCCCTGCTTCAGTTTTGTCCTCTACAAACCAGGCCTGTAAAAAAAAATGCTAGCACTCCCCAGAGTAGTCTGAGGGGTTATGTGAGGTGATTAGAGCAGTGTGCAGTATTGCACCATGCGTCTGTTATTACCTCCACCTGGCTTTCTTCCGTGCCCTTTCGTTGTCTTCTCCTTCCTCTTTCCACACCCCTCTCTGGCCAGTACCTTGGGTCTTGGTTCTGAGTACTGGAGATCAGTTCTGAGTACTGGAGATCACTAGAGTTTGGTCAATTGAACAGGGTTAAGAGAATCATTCTGTTGTGCTTGGAGCTACCCATAAAATTGACGGATCAGTTTTGCATGGTACCAAAGGGAACTCTGGAGGCCCTCAAAGCAGGGAAAAGGTCAGAAATTAGTTCATAGCCATATTAGACTGGGTGACCCTGCTCTGACATAACCACTTCCCCTGTAAAAGTTACTACCTGCAATGTATCAGTTGCCAGCACCTGAGATCATCAGCTAGACAATTCATTTCCAAGACAGCTCACTGTCATGTTTGACAAGTTGGTGCTGTCTGGGTCCTGGGTCCTTGGCGAGCTGATCAAGTGTTGTGCACAGCAGCTGACTTTTCCCAGAGGGTGTAATCTAGGATACCTAGGTGGACACCTCAGTGCTTTTGTGACTGTCATGCCTGCTAGATTCTGTTGCTGTACAGGGGTCATCACAAGCTGAAGACAAGGGAAACCAGACTCCTCTTGAGGGAGGGAAATCATATTGTACAAGAGGAGTGTGTAGGATGGACGTGTGCCACATTTATTATCCTTGCTTTACCTTCTAAGGGTTGAAAGATTCTGATCAACAAGTTTAGGTCATGGTCCCTTTCCCAGACTGTATTAGCACAGGGAATGAGGTTTGAGCCCTCTGGTTCTGAAAGCTAAGCCAGTCCTCCAACCACAAATACAATTTGCAAGACAGCACTCACCAAAAGGAAGTAGGTTGCTGTTGAGAAGGGAGGCGGGGCTGGAGAAATCATTCAGTAAGATTTCATGTGGTGGCCATTACAAGCATGAGGACCTGATATCAACCCACAGAAGCCATGCAAAAAGCCAAGTGCAGTGATGTATGATTGTATGTCATCCCAGTGCTGAGGCTGGAAGCAGATCCCCTGGGAGCATGTCTGCTGTTTGTTTCACCTGCACTGGCAGCTTTCCCAGGTGGCTTAACTCAGCAGAAAATATGTCCTTGAAGCTGCTACCAGCTGCTACTTGCATTGAAGTGGCATTTGTGTGGGATTTTCTGTTCCTTTTAGGTCTTGTGTGGCTAAAGCTTTCATCTGGAGTTGTGAGCCAGCCTGCTCAAGGTCATTTCCAAACATTAGTGATCTGGGAAGAATACCCACAGACCAGTGCGATTGTTGTCTAATATGACATCATCTCCTACTTTAGCAACTACACGTAAGCTAATTCACAGTACCCAAACTTGGATGAGTCTAGAATGCCATGCCAGAGATGAGTTTGGGAGTATAGCATTGGCGAAGAAGCCATGTAGAGGCACATTAGGTGTGAGCCAGAGGCAGACGCCACAGTGGGGCACAGTGTCATGTAGCTGAAATGCCCTGTTTACAAGTGCAGGGTCCCTTTCTCCAGTGCAGCATGGGCTGGGTTCAGATGTCTGTGTTCGCTCTGCCGCCACTCCCTTCTGTATTCTACTGATAACCTCCCTGTCACCACAGCCCTGTGTCCTGAGGGGAGTCTGGATTGCAGTTGAATATGAAATAGTTAGGCATCTCTATAAATGGGGCATTTTAGTTACCACCAGCAGATGGTGCCTTCATGAATCCAGGGAAGAGTATCCTAGGCTATGGGAGCAGCCAGCACATGTACATGCGGTAGGAAGAGTGCCTGGGAATTCGGGAACTGGCCAGTAAGCAGAGTGGGCAGAGCTAATTGACGTCCTTTCTCTGCATGAGGGACATCATTTCCTTGTTCTCATGTGTCTGTGTTCTTGGTTTTGAGTGTGTGGCGTAACCCTGGTCTCAGAACCTCCTCCTCTCTAAGCAAACCTTAGTGTTGACAGTGCCAGCTCTGCCCTCAGTCTTGGGCTTCTAGGGTAATACAGCATATCACAGGTACACATAGTCCTTTTATGAGAAGAACTCAGTTAAACATTGGGGGTGGGGTGTAATAAAGTTCTCAGAGCTGAGAGATGAAGTGGGGCCCGACATGGTGCTTGACATTTGTGTCACCTCAGCACCCAGGAAGTTCAGACAGTAGGACAGTACAAAGCCACAACCAAGCAAGAGTAAGAAAGAAGAGGCATGAAGAGAAAATGAATGTCAAGGGAAGCATGGAGTCATGGAGCTCCCTTCCTGTGTCCAGTGACCTGTGGGTCCAGTGTGCCATTTGGTGGTGTGTGGTAGACCGTGCCAGAAAGATACCCTGGAGCTAAATTTCAAAGACTGCTGAGGGCTACAAGGGAGCTTGGAGTTTGATAGGCCTTAGGTGGCATTGCAAGGCTTTTTGACTTTTCAGTGCTTGAATTGAAACCTGGGACTTGAACATGCTAGAGTTCCACCCTTGAGCTGCTCTCCTAGCCTCTCACCACAAGGCGCTCAGTAGACTGTAGGTGTGGATGTAGGCACAGGAGGTGGGTGAAGGTAGTGTGTGCACTTCCTGTTCTCTATAGTGTCCCCCTCCCCAAGGGTGTGTGTTGGTGGGGCTCCCGTGTTGCCAGCTGCTCCTCGTTACCCATTTTTGTCAGATTGCTGATCCTGAGGAACAGGGTCTGAGATGGTCCAGATACTGTAACATGCGTTAAGTAGGCTCGGAGCCTCAAGGGAAGATCTGCCTTCCGGTTGGCTTGCCAAGGTCTCATGTCCATTGCAAGGGAGGTGGCCTTCCTTTGCCCAACTCTGATATTTTTCTAAGGGGAAATAAAGTATAAGTTGTTGGTACAGAAGTTTTAAGAATGGGAAGAAGAGCTTTTAAGAAATTTTGATCTGAGTTTGTTACTCATTTTGTCCCTTCTTCGTAACAGATGTTTTCGACACTTATACATTTTTAACAGAATTGTGATCATAATGTCATATACTTCCTGTGTATGCTTCATAATTACGGTGTACATGATGTCATAACACTCTTACCAGCTAAAATAAAATGCTTTATTCTGCTGTTGAAGGACGGATGCATTATTTCCAAAATTGCAGTTGTAAATAATATGCCTCTTTCACACACTGTGGCTATATATACTAAATTCTAAAGGGTAAAAAAGACCTTTTTGATGTTGGATTTTTTAATTGTGATTTTTAATATATTTCATTACATTAAATTTTTAATCACTTTAAAAATTACTCTGGGGGGGGCTGGAGAGATGGTTCAGCAGTTAAGAGCACTGGTTGTTCTTCCAGGGGACCTGGGTTCAATTCCCAGCACCCACATGGCAGCTCACAACTGCCTATAACTCTATTTCCAGGGGGCTTCCACACCTTTACACAGACATACATGCAGGCAAAATACTAGTGCACATAAAATAAAAACAAATCAGTTTTTTTGTAATTCCTGTGTGTGTGTGTGTGTGTGTGTGTGTGTGTGTGTGTGTGTGTGTGTGTGTGTGTGTGTGTGTGTGTGTGTGTGTGTGCTGGGCCACAAACCAGCTTCCACATCACAGAGATTTCTTAGTTTTAAGTGTTTGGCCTAGTAGACTTGTTTCTGGCTATCTGTTTTAACTTGATTTGACCAGTTCTCTTTATCTGCCTTTTGCCTTGGGGCTTATTGCCTTCTTCTGTGTGTCTTACTTTCACTGCTTCTATGTCTGGCTTGCTTGTTAGTGTCTGACTGGCTTCTTGCCTTGGGCATGTCCCTTGTCTCCTCCTCTCGTTCTTCTATTCTCTCAAGTCTAGATTTCTCCTCAGATTTATTTTCTTTGCCTGGCAGCCCTACCTGTCCTTTCTCCTGCCTAGCTATTGGCTGTTTAGCCTTTTATTAGCCCAATCAGGTGCCTTAGTTAGGCAAGATGAAACAGATGGCAATACATCTTTACGTAATTAAACACATCCTTATATTGTTAAAACAAATACAGCATAAACAAAAGTAACATACCTTTATACAGTTAAAGTAATATTCTACAGCATAAACAAATGTGACACATCTTTGCTTAGTTAAATATTCTACAAGTTGGTCTTTTCACTTAAATATCAGTTTTTTTCCATTGCAAGTTTTGAAAAGTCTGCTTCTTTTAGAGAGTTGTTAAGTAGTTCTAATTCTGTGTCTGTGAGTCATGCTGTTTTGTGACATTTTGTTGAAATTTACATAAGTGTTCAGATCATAACTAGGAGGCTTACCCTTGGTTGAGGGGGTAATCCAGGCATGCTATGTATGTCTATAGTTGTAGCACTTGTGAGGCAGAAGCAGGAGGATTACCACAAATCTGAGGTCAGCCTAATTTATGCAATAAAGTTGTGACCAGTCAGGGTTATATAGACCCTGTCTCATAAGCAATAGACCGTGGATCTGGGGCTTACTTTCCTATCATACAGTCATGTTGTATTTTGTGCACTTGCATTTCTTACAGATCCCACCCATGTGATGGGCTTGTACCCTGACCTGCTCCCCACGGACTACAGGAAGCAGCTGCAGTACCCCAACCCACTGCCCACACTCTCTGGTGCCGAATTGGAGAAGGCTCACTTAGCTCTCATTGACTACCTGACACAGGTAGGCCTAATACACAGGTGTGGGAGCCTCTGCCTCAGAGTCCCATCCCTGCTTCTCTGTAGCAATGATAGGACTGCAAGAGGTCCATAAGTGAATACTGTGGAAGTCAGAGAGTGCCATCTGCTGCTGACTCCAACCTAATAATACCAGTGAGTGCAGCAGCATCTTGCCTGTGAACCTGTAACGGTGCACACGCCTTTGGGCGTGGCTTCAGGCAGATGGAAGCAGAAAGAAGAAAGCTGAGGTGTGGTCTCTCTTGCGGTTTCTTTCTCTTGGGTCAGCAGATCCGATCGGAAGGGCAGAGAAATGCTCCCGTGGTTCTTTATTATTATCTGTGTAAGTGTTCCCCAATAAACACCCATTTGCCATTTATCTTGGGTCAAGTGAAATCATTACACCTTTGCCTTCAGTTGGCGCCCAACCTAATAGTACCAGTGAGCCTTTTTATTTTTGCCTTTTAAGTACTTTTACGAATTCTTTGAGAATTACATACAATGTATTTTGATCATATTCACCCTTAATTTCTCCCAAACCTCCTCAAGAAAAACCCATCATCTCCAATTTGTGCTGTCTGCATACTACATAGGTGTGGGGCCATCCTCTGGTGCCATGCCCTTAAAGTCTTTAATTGACACTCACTCCCCTAGAAGCCAACAGCTCTCCATAGCTCCTTGGTTAAGGGTGAGAGCTGTTTTGTTTTAAATCAAATCCTCGTATCAGGAAACATATTCATAATAAGTTATTATCTGACCTAAAAGGGGTAAATTTTAATTATTATGACTTTTTCATGCAGTATATAATTGAGTGTGGTGGGGGGAAATGCCTGTAATTTGAGAAACATAGAAAATACAAGCCACGGGGGCATAGTGGAGCAGGCCTTTAATCCCAGCACTCGGGAGGCAGAGGCAGACGGATCTCTGAGTTTGAGGCCAGCCTGGCCTACAGAGCAAGTTCCAGGACAGCCACAGCTACATACTGAAACTCTGCCTCTAAAACAAAGTATAAGCCAGAAACATAACACCCATAGGTCTCCCTAAGAGAAGTAACCAACACTTGGGCATTGTTTGTTTAGTTTCTTATGTGTATTCATGAACTAGCTTCTCCCTGTTTAAGAGTTTTACTTTTGTTTTTATGATTATGGCTGTTCTGTTGACTGTGTGTCTGTATAACAGATGCATTCCTGGTGTTAGCAGAGGACAGAAGAGGGCATTGGGTGCCCTGGAACCAGAGTTACAAACAGTTGTGTGCTCCCATGTGTGTGCTGGGATTGAACCCAGGTTCTTTGATGAAGAACCTGTGCTCTTAGCCACTGTGCCATTTCTCCAACCCATTTTATTGTTATTATTTATTAAATGAAATCAAATGTATTTCCTGTTTTATAGTTTACAGCTTAAAATTTAGCTATATATTGGGAAAGTCCTTCTTTGTCAATAATTATTCTTCTGTAACATACATTTATGGTTTAATTTTTAAAATCAGCACTACAACTTAGCTCTCCCCAAAGCTCAGTGTTTTTGAAATAGGATCTCATGTAGCCCAGGCTGAACTTGAACTCCCTATGTAGCTAAGATGATCTTAAGTTCTAATCCTCCTGCCTTCGTTTCCCAAGTGCTGGGACTACAGGTGTACGCCATTAAACCCAGTTTCTGTGATGCTGGGGGTTTCTGCATGGGAAACAAGAACACACCAACTGAATTGTATCCCAGCCCTCTTCAAGCTTCTTAACTCACATTTTGTCACAAATTGTTCCTGTTTGTTTCCTTGTAGGCATTTGTGTCAGAGGCTTTATAGATGAGCCCTGGACCAAGTAAAGACAGTTCCTAGGATACAGTGTTTCCAGAAGCTCATGTCCTTTGGCTTCTGCCATCTCAGCTTTAGGAAGCGGAGCACACTTTTCCCTGGTCCCCATGACTTTGGGGATGCATGGAATTAAGCAGCACCAGTGTTTTGCCAAACAAGACCATGGGCTTTGGCAGATTCAAAGAAGTACAAAGTAGATGACTACATTATCTAAAGATTGTTTTTATTCATTTATTTATGTTGAAATGTGGTCTCACTAGATTGCCTAAGTTAAGCTTGAATTCATGATCTTGAATTCTCTGAGTAGCTGTGATCACAGGCATGTGCCTCCATACTCAGCTGGATGAGGTTTTAGAACAGGCAAAAGCTAATCTTAGAAACAATTGGGGTTAGAGTGTAGCTCTTTGGTGGAGCACTTGCCTGGCATATGCAAGGCCTGAGGTTGGATCCCTAGCACTGCAGAAACAAAGCAGGAGTACATCACCATTATCACTGGGTCTGTGGCAATGTGACAGTCATGTCTTTGACCTTTGGCAAAGCAAGAATGCTGTTGTGAGACCCTGGGTGATAGGCAAGAGCTGATTTGGAGGCATTCAGAGTTAACTCAGTAGCTTGGGTGATGAAGGAAGATCTAGTCCTGGGTTTTGACTCCATGTTTTTGCCATTTCCAGAAACGGAGTCAGTTGGTAAAGAAGCTGAATGACTCGGATCATCAGTCCAGCACCTCCCCACTCATGGAAGGCACTCCCACCATCAAGTCCAAGAAGAAGTTACTACAGATCATCGACACCACTCTGCTCAAGTGCTACCTTCATGTGAGTTGTGTCAGGATGCCAGTCCCCTCACTCTCAAACTCTGGGGATGTTGCAGGGCTCTCTGTAGGAGATAAGGCAAGATATTCATTTGGGAGGTTCCTTTGTAGTAAAATTGAAGTTACTGCCACAGTCTCAACAGGGGCAGTTATAACTCAAGGAAAGTCACCACTTTGCTTCCCCCAGAACATTGAGACGTGTGCTGAAGGGTATAGAAATGACCTAAAGGCCGCCACTTGTCATTCTGTAACAAGGACCATTTGCTTTCCTATGCTTGTTGTGTGGGACCTTTGAGCCTGGAGCAGGCCTGAGCTAGCAAAGGGTGGGGCTTCCAGGAGGGAGCTTCTGCTGCTGCCCCACGTGATCCTGTGTCAGCCTCATCTCCCCCCAGACAAATGTGGCCCTGGTGGCTCCTTTGCTACGCCTGGAGAACAACCACTGTCACATTGAGGAAAGTGAGCATGTGCTAAAGAAGGCTCACAAGTACAGTGAACTCATCATCCTGTACGAGAAGAAGGGGCTTCATGAGAAAGGTGACTCACAGGTCCTTCCGGAGCCTGGGGGCAGGGGACGCTTGCTATAGTGGCAGCATCCGATGAACCTCACACGAGGAAGAGGCTCATGTGTTTGTTCTTGGGCTTTGTGGCCAGCTCTGCAGGTGCTAGTGGACCAGTCCAAGAAAGCAAACTCACCTCTGAAAGGCCACGAGAGGACGGTGCAGTATCTGCAGCACTTGGGTGAGCCCTGTTATGGTGGTGGTTTTTGAGACGGAGCCTCTCTGTGTAGACCAGGCTAGTCTCAGACTTACAGAGGTTCACCTGCCTCTGCCTCCCGAGTGCTAGGATCAGATGTGTGTGGTACCACATCCAGCCCTGAGCCCCACTTTTAAGAGCTGTGGAGGTGGCTCCTATTTGTGTGGGCCTTGTCTCCCTCTACTCTTGAGTCTGCTCAGTCCCTTCCATTGTATTCCATCGGTTCTGTTCTTCTGCCTGGCATCAATAATTCAACCATGAAGCCCTTTAGTATGTGGGCAGGCCATGAGGAACAAGCAGGTCTGAATGGCTGGTGCTTGTGTCTGTCTTGTCCACAAATGAATCTATACCTACACACCTACCCTTCCAATCTTATTGGACAGGCCTGACTTTTGTCTACTGCTAACAAACCTTACTTTTCCTTTGAAGGCACAGAAAACCTACATTTGATTTTTTCCTACTCGGTTTGGGTGTTGAGAGACTTCCCAGAAGATGGCCTGAAGGTAGGTCATAGGCCTTGGACTTGATCCAGATTGTATTTGGTGAAAGAGCCACAGATACAGGAGGAGGCTGAACTGCCCATTCCTTTGGAGTCATAGGGTGGCATGGACATGTGAGACCAGACTGTATATAAGTAAAAGGAACCTTGTCCTAAGACCATTAGGTGCCAGCTTAGCCTGCCGTCTATCAGCCAGCTACTGGTCCCTTGTCCACCCTTCCCCTCCAAGAGTCTGCACTTACAAGCACAGAGGTTCTGCTTGTAGAATACAGGTTTGTTCTGACAGATATTCACCGAAGACCTCCCGGAGGTGGAGTCTCTGCCACGAGATCGAGTGCTCAACTTCTTAATAGAGAATTTCAAGGGTCTGGCCATTCCTTACCTGGTAAAGTACAGTTTTTTTGTTTTTGGTTTTTTTTCCCCCCCAAAGACCTTAACCCTAGTATCTAGGGTCACTTATGCAGTTCAGATTCCGGGTAGGGTGGGGTCACATGGGTCTTGGTGGGACTGCAAAGATGGTTATTTCAGCTTCCTCTGAAGAAAGCAACCCTAGGAACCAAGCTAGGAACACCGCCCATAATGAAAGCTTCTCAATCTAATAGAGAACCGAGGGAACCAAGAATGATGGTGTTTAATCCTAGCACTTGGGAGGCAGAGGCAGGCAGATCTCTGTGAGCTCAAGGCCAGCCTGGTCTACAAAGTGAGTTTCAGTTTAGATTGAAAATTGAAGAAACCCTCCCTGACCTCACTGGGTTTGTTGTGGTTTTGGAAGAGCTGCCTCTTGGTAATCTTTGCAACTTAGTTAGGGAACAAGTGGTATGGGACCTGAGAGGGAGACCGGGAGATGAGCTCACAGCATGGAGGGTACCAACGAGAATGACCTTCATTCCACCTCAGGAGCATGTCATCCACGTGTGGGAGGAGACGGGCTCACGGTTCCACAACTGTCTGATCCAGCTGTACTGTGAGAAAGTACAGAGTCTGATGAAAGACTACCTTCTGTCCCTGCCCACAGGTATCCATGCCCATCCAAAGCAGGTGGCCCCGACACCGGTGCCTGTGTGTAGTGTTGGGAAACAGGCCCTGCTGTTCTCTGTGGGTGGGAGGACCTTTAGGGGAGTCTGAGACACTGAGTGGTCTGGGTCTGGGTATCTCTGGGAGTCCTCCCAGGTAGGACAGAAGGACAGATCTGTCTGTAAGATGACAGCTGTGTTGCCAAGAGACCTATTGACCATCATGGTTCTCTGCTCACAGACTTCCTTAATGTCACACTGGTGTTTTAAGGCCAGAGCAACCACGGAGTACAAGAACCATTGGGAAACCTCCTTGAGGCCCTTCCTTGATCACAGGGTGACATCACTGAGCCCGTTGCCCTCATTTGACCCCACGTTATTGCTTAGCAGCCTCCTTTCATGTGGCGCTTGGTTTCCCTTAAAGGCAAAAGTCCCGTCCCTGCTGGAGAGGAAATGGGCGAGCTGGGAGAATACCGACAGAAACTGCTCATGTTCTTGGAGATTTCCAGCTACTATGACCCAGGCCGGCTCATCTGTGATTTTCCCTTTGATGGTGAGTGTCAAGTGTATGCCTTCATCACCATTCTCCAGGCCTCAAAGGTGGGTGTGTGAGGAGGGCCCAGGCGTCCAGGCCAGTGCTCCCGTTCCTCCACATCACTTTTTTGCTGAGGCTGAGAGTAAACTCTGGGTGTGAACAATGTGCTAATTTGTAGATTGTCATCTGTTGCTTTAGAAGGAGTTCTTGTTGGAACTCATTGTTGAGTACTTCTTGTAGCCTGGTGTGACTCATCAAGAAAAAGATAACCCTGTCTGGCATCAGCCCTGTGAACACCAACACCAAGTCTTTGCCTCCCCTTCACTGGAGTTCCCAGTCCGTGTAAAGTTGGCTGTTTAGTGAGTGCCCTTACTCAGTTTATGAGTAATTGTTAAAAAGTTGAGATATGGCCAGGCGTGGTGGGGCACACCTTTAATCCCAGCACTCAGGAGACAGAGGCAGACAGATCTCTGTGAGTTTGAGGCCATCCTGGTCTGCATAGTGAATTCCAGGACAGCCAAGGCTACATGAGACCCTATCTACAAAAAAAAAAAAAAAAAGATGAGGGTGGGTACAATACCTCCTAAATTAGCTTCCTTCTTCTTTAAAAACATCTTTTAATAGTTTTCTCCCTTTCCAAAAAAGGTAATAGTATTTTTAGTATTTTGGTGCTTGGGATTGACCCCTTTCATGTGTTAAGCTTGTACTCTACCTCTGAGCTGGAACCCATCCCTTTCTTTGGTTTGGATTTTTATGTTTTTGGAGGATTGGTTTGACATTTAAAAAAAAAAAAACTCCATTTATTATTCTTTATATTTTTATTCCATTTGCCTATTTGTGCATGTATGCCATCGTACATATCTAGAGGTCAAAGGACACCTTGTACAAGGCCTAGGGATTGGACTCAACTCATCAGATTTGGCAGCAGGTGCTGTTACCCACTGAGCCATCTTGCCATTCTCCACTTATATTTGTATTGCCCCAGTATATCTTCCTGGAGTTGCTCAGTCCCTAATCTTGTGCATGTGTAACGACAGTGGCAGCTACTTGGAGTCCTTTCCCCTCCTAGGCCTCTTAGAAGAAAGAGCTCTCCTGTTGGGACGAATGGGGAAGCACGAACAAGCCCTCTTCATCTATGTCCACATCTTGAAGGACACAAAGATGGCTAAGGAGTAAGTCAGCGCTGCTCTCCCACATCCGCAGGAGTCTCAAGGCAAGCCCTCCCAGGAGTGAGCAGCCAGGAAGGCCACCCCACGCCCAGCTGCAGAGGGACCATCACCTCCCCTGCTGGCCCTCTCCCGTTACCATTGGCAGCAACATAGACGCCTTGCGTGTAGTCTCTCTTGCCTGCCCTCACCACTTCCTCCCTTGCAGGTACTGCCACAAACACTACGACCAAAACAAAGAAGGCAACAAAGATGTAAGTAGCAGCTGTGACCAAGGGAGCATGTGCACTTCCTGTCACTCTAGCAGACCCCACCCCATCCAGTGTGGCCACAAGTGGCACTTGTATCAATCACTGAGACACAATATGTCAGTGCACTAAATGATTGTTAGCATATGTTTACTGGGGAAGATCGGTTGCCACCCACCTGATTAGTAATAGCACCCTGTCCCTCTCAAGAACTCTGATTCATGTATTAAATTAATGTGGATTGGCCCATCTCGGAGGAAGGGTCTGATTATGCATCAGTTTGTCAGTACCACAAGACATTTGTGATTTGGTGTGACTGGGAGTGGGGCGGGAATCTGGGGGTAGAGGTCAGAGATGCTGCTAAATGACGCACAGGATAGAAGTATCTGTCAAGAGTGCCAGGACGCGGGCTGGAGAGATGACTCAGGGGTTAAGAGCACTGAATGCTCTCCCAGAGGACCTGCGTTTGATTCCCAGCACCCACCTGGCAGCTCACAACTGTCTGTAGTTCCAGTTCCATGGCAAAGTAAATACCAATGCACATAAAAAATAAAAATTAATTAAAAAAAGAAAGAGTGATAGGATGGAGTGCCCCTGTGCCACTAGAACCAGTCAGAAACATGGCCAGGCTGTCAGCCTTCAAAGCATAAGAAAATGAAGAATCATCAGGTTATTTGGCAGTGTTAACTTTCTGGGAATGATATAACGTTAAATAAATACAAGGCATTCAGGGAAAAAGCAATAATTGGCATCCTCATTTGGCTCTTTGACTTTGCCAAAAATTAAGGGGAAGGTGATGAATCTGGAGTACTCCATGCCAGTGGTTGCTATCCACCAGCCCTCTCTAATCATCAGGGAGGCTCAGGGCTGGGGGTTCTAGGAGGGTTGCTGCTAGCCTGACATACATGTTTGTATCTATGAAACAGGTATATTTGTCCCTGCTTCGGATGTACCTGTCACCCCCCAGCATCCACTGCCTGGGGCCAATCAAACTGGAGCTGCTGGAGCCACAGGCCAACCTCCAGGCTGCCCTGCAGGTCCTGGAGCTGCACTACAGCAAATTAGATACCACCAAGGTCAGGGGCCTGCAGATGGAGCAGGAGTGAGAAGAGGGTCGGGGAAGGGGGTAGGCACAAGCTTTTGGTCTCACTCCTGAGCTCCCTAACCCATCTCTATCCGGTCACTGCCCCTAGGCGATCAACCTTCTACCGGCAAACACTCAGATCAATGACATACGCATCTTTTTAGAAAAGGTCTTGGAAGAAAATGCACAAAAGAAACGATTCAATCAAGTGCTCAAGAACCTTCTCCATGCCGAGTTCCTGAGAGTATGGGCCTTCCACACTTTTGGGGGGTCTTTGGGGTTTGGTTGGTTGGTTGGTTAGTTGGTTGGTTGGTTGGTTGAGACAGGGTTTCTCTGTGTAACTGTACTGGGTACCCTGAAACTCACTCTGTAGACCAGGCTGTCCTTGAATTCACAGAGATCTACCTGTCTCTGTCTCCCTAGTTCTGGAATTAAAGACCTGCACCACCATGCTCGGTGGGCTTTGGGTTTTAATTGAGACACTTTTCACATAATTGTCATCAAGGAAGCACATAGCTCAGGTGATCTGGCAGTCAGAATGGCGTTTAGTGGAATCTTTGTAAGCTGAAGACACAAACAATGCCAGCTTCTACTTCTGTTTCTACACCTGGACGTGGAACTTGTCCAATTTCTCCCAGGTTCAGGAAGAGCGGATTTTACACCAGCAGGTGAAGTGCATCATCACCGAGGAGAAAGTGTGCATGGTGTGCAAGAAGAAGATTGGGAACAGGTGAGCCCCTTCCCGAGCAGCATCTGGAGGCAGATGGGGTTCGAGAGAGAGAGAGAGAGAGAGAGAGAGAGAGAGAGAGGGAGGGAGGGAGGGAGGGAGGGAGGGAGGGAGGGAGGGAGGGAGGGAGGAGAGAGAGAGAGAGAGAGAGAGAGAGAGAGAGAGAGAGAGAGAGAGAGAACGAACTACCAAGGGAATAGTCATACCCACAATCAAGATTGGTCTTCCCACATCGGTTAACAAAATCAAGATAATTCCCCCTCAGGAATGTCAGATGCCAGGTGATCCTAGATTCTGTCACATGGACAGCACTGACCTCACACCCACCATGGACAGAAGCTGTCTTGTGTCATTGAGTTCTTGAGCTTTGAGAGAGCAACTCATATCATCTGTTGGGGAGACTCTTTGATAGTTTAAAGACCTGACATGGCACAGAGATGTTGAACTCTGGCTCAGAAAGCTCTATTCCTCGGACAGCTAAAATGAACAGGAGCCAGAGAGTCAGTAGGAGTTTAGGAGACATACAGAAAGTCTTCTTGAGACATGGGCTGGCTGGATAGCTCAGGCTAATTTGGAACTCAACCCTCCTGCCTCAGCCACACCCCAGTGCTTGTACCACCATGCCAGGTAGACAGGATGAGCCACCCAAGGGAGAAAACCTGCTGTCTCATGACTCGAGCAGCCTCCTGAGTCATTGTACTCTACAACAATCATTACTCTGTGTTAAGACATGCTGGAGGGGGAAAAAAAAAAAAAAGACATGCCGGAGAGTCAGCCCCCTGGCCTGGAAGGGGCAGGAGTTGCCTCTTACTCTGCTAGAACTCTTTCTTTGCAGAGGCCTGCCTTGCTGTCATTCATTACAACTAGCCTGAAACATGTTCCACTGAACGTCATCCCCCAGAATCGAGCTTTTTGTTTGCACATTTATTTACCTGGCTTGTTGTTTGTTTGGTTGGTTGGTTGATAGCACTACTGAGGGTCACACTACCACTGACCCAAACCCTCAACCCTGAACTGATAGAATAACAAAAATGTTTCCATGAACTTAAATGTTGTATGGTTCATGCTCTGGCTGTTTGGAAAAGTGGTACCACAGCATTCCAGAGATATGGGAGTAGACTGTTCTTTGGAGTCTGGGTGGCTGCTGGGGATAGTACTGTTGGAGAAGACTGTTCTGTCACTCACCTCAAAGCTATTCTTCCACACAGTGCATTTGCAAGATACCCAAATGGAGTGGTTGTGCACTACTTCTGTTCCAAAGAGGTCAACTCAGCCGACACCTGAGCTGAGCATCCTAAGGACTCAGCAGTGGACAGCTTGGCTTTCCCAGAGAGTTGAAGGAGCAGCCACATTAGGAACCAGGGACCTTTACCACCAAGTCTCCCTCATTTGGACATTGCTGGCTGCCATGCTCCCTGGAACATCTCTGAATTAACTGGACTTGTGACCTGGCATTGCTGGCTTTTTCCTAGAAAAAGATTAGTTATATCTTACACTGTTATGTTGCAGACAATCCCAGGAATTTAACCCCTGCTTGGACAGGAGGAAATGCACCGTCTTGCCTTTGTATACCAGTCACCTGGACAAGGAGATTTCATCTCAAGTGTTTGTACCCATGGGGTTGTTGATTGAGAGTTTTCTATTATGATAACTACACAGCTTCATAAGACCCCTACCCCACCCCCACCCCCAGCATGGCAGCCCATGGGACCCTGGTACTAGAGCTCTCCAGCCCCACTGACCAAACAGGCTCACTGTCTATATACTGCTGGTGGTTTCTCCAAGGAGCTGTGCCCTATGTCCTCTTATGTCCTCTCTGTGCTTATCCCTTTAGTTTCCAGTCTCCTTTTCTTCACTATTTATTTTGCCCCTTAATTTCTTCCCTTGCTACACCACCCATGCTCTCCCACTCTGTAGACTGAAGGGGAGAGAGTAACTAATATTTAAATGAGGTAAAATGGGAAGCCGCAGTCTGGGTTTCCAGGAGTGCACTGCTAAGCGGTTATCAGGTACGTTGTATGAAGGTTCTCAGAGCTGAGCTTTTCTACTAAGGTGCATGGGGAGCACAAGTCTGCAGGCGCAGGCTTTGGTACCTCCCTGGCCAGCACTGCACAGGGTCTGTGGTCTCCTGGGCAGGATCTCTGTAGTAGTGCCTGCTCCAGCCACTCACCAGCTGCTTGGACAGGTTGCTGAGTCTTTGTGGGTGAGCCTTTGTGGGTGAGCTCTTTGTGGGTGAGCCTTTGTGGGTGAGCTCTTTGTGGGTGAGCTCTTTGTGCTTGGAGCACCTTCCTCTTTCCTAGCCACTTTCTGTCCTGTTGCTTTTCCTGGCCATCGTTGGTTGTTCCCTGGCCTTCTTTTTTTTTTTTTTTTTTTTTTTTTGGAGGATTGCTCTAGGATAAGGTGGTAATGTGGGTCTCCACTGCACACAGGGAACAAAAGACCAGAAACTGACAGTAGTGAGATATGTGTTTGTGAGGCATTGAGGAATGGCAAACAGTGATGCAGGAGGAAGCTGGATGTCTACTGTGTCTGTTGAGCCTGTCTGGGAGCCCGCAAGAGGTGTGTGGGACCTTCTGACATTGGAGGCTATGGGCACAAGGCACACACATGCACAGACATATATGCAGGCAAAACACCCATACACGTAAGATTAAAAAAAAAAGAGCAGTGTTGCCCACGATCCCATCTGCACCTTCCTCATGAGCAGCCCTAGGGTACCAGGCCTCTCCCCCCCAGGACAGGAACTTGCCCCATCATATGAGCCCTGCCTCTTGCCTGGTGAGCTTATAGCATCCTTTCTCGCCGACTGTATTTGAAGCAGTAGAATAAAGCCTGTGTTTTTCCCTGGATGGTTTGCATACTTAATTCTGTTTTCTCAAACTCCATGGAGGGCTAGGGCGGGGAGCAGGAGTAGCTCCAGCCTGATGGTGGTGGAAGGCTACTCCTCAATAAACACAAGCAAGAAACCAAGTCTCCTCGAGCCTCCTCCCCTTCCGAAGACTTTCATGAAAATGATAACAAAGGGGTAGCAATTTAGCTGAGAAGAGAGAAGGGTAGGACAGTAACTAGGAAAAGGAAATCAGAGCAACACTCCTTTTTCACGATGTGTGGCCAGCAGGAGTGACTGTGGGTGGATGGCTGACACCGAACGCACAGACTTTCTCGGCCATTACACCAGGAACCCCCGAGTTCTATGTAATCTAAGACGCCAAACACAGCATTGCTTTGAGCCTCTTCTGGAGTCTCACTATGGCCAGAAGGGGCCTGTGAGGATCAGCAGGAGTGAGGGACTCTGTTTTAAAAGTAAAGTTTGCCCAGCTCTCAAATGACAACTTGGTCCCTCTGCAATGTCCCCTTCTTGACCTGTCTGTCTGGCCATCCTGCAGATCCTCTGCCAGTGAAAACCACCCAGAACTTTGAGCTGAGGTGTGACTGTTGAGACATGGGGGAATGTGGTGTAAGCCAGAAAGCACAACCAGCTGGTACTGTTCCCCTCCTCATCAGGGCCCAGGGCTTTGAGTGTGGATCTGAAAGACCCCCAGAGTGGGGAGACCCTCACTCAAGTCTCGGGATAAGCCGACACCCCAATAATTCAAGAGAGACCTTCTTGATGCAAGCACACGAGGTTTATTCGGGGAACCAGTGCACTGGGGCCGAGCTCATAGCCCTCCCAGGGGCAGAGGAGTTCGACCCCTAGTAGCTGCAGTCGGGGGGGGGGGGGTTTAAAAGGGGAAATCCGAATGGGGGAGTTAGGCAAACATCATAAAGGATGGGAAAGTTAAATGATATCTTATGTCTTAACAGGAAGGTTATCTCAAGCAAGCATTCTTTGGGCATTGTACAGTTAAACATTGATCGGGAATGTGGTGAGCTAGTTCCTGGATCAGAGAGTGTTATCTTTTAAGTTTATCTTGAGTTCTCCGGTTTCTCAGGAGAGGGCAGAAAGACAATTTACTCTGTGATGGGCTAGTCGCTAGGGGTCTAAAAATGTTGAGTTGGGATCTCTCAGATCCAGGAGTGTTTACACTATCCACAGGATCTGCAAGGGGCTGGATTCAGATCCCAACCTTACAATCCACATGAGGTGAAACAGGCTATTGCAGTTATATCACATTTGGTTCTGGAATTTCTGGTCTGAACTTGCCTGTCAGTTTGGGAGTTACTCACCTTTGTGGATGTCATTTCGGCCTCCAGCTGTATGTCTGGGGCAAGACAATGTCGATTACCTGAATGATTGAGCTAGGGTCTCATCTAGTACCTCAAGCTGGCCTCATATGGCTGAGTTCAGCCTCCTACCTCAGAGTGCTGGGGTTACAGGCACCACCACCCCTGAATCTAGAAAAGGGTTGTGGTTAAAGAGGTGAAAGGAGTCTCCTAACAGTTCCCTCTCTAGAAACTTCTTTTCCCAGCGACTACTCCCGCCTGGCCACCTAGATGTCAGCAGGGATGGAGATGACACACACAGTGGTAGCTGGAGGCTCACTGTATGGTCACAAGCACTTTAAGGCCTTTGCCTCTGGCAGTTTAAGGACAGGGAGGCCTGCCTCTCTCCTGTCCTTGTTTACACTACCTGGCCGTGGCCTGCCTCTATGCCTGAGTCACCAGGCACTTCACCAGGAAGGGTCACGAAGGGAATCTTTTCAGGGTGTGGGTGACTTTGAGCATAGTACAGACATAGCATGCGGCAGGTCCTCTGTGTCAAGGGAATAACTGAGGAAGGCCAAAAGAGACATAAAGTCTCTTTGAGTCCCCATGAAACCCTCAGCCAGAGAGTTCCATGTTTCTACATAAAAGCTGTGGAGAAATTGGGGCTTGAAGAAGGGGGGGCAATGGTGTGGGGATTTCTGCCAGCTAGAGGAGGTTAGACTGATTCTATCACCTCCTAACTTCTGCTAATGCAAACTAGTTGGAAACAGGAATGTCTGGGTTCTTGCCCTACCCTTTAAACAGGACCATGGAAAGGGGTGGGGGTGGTGAGGCCCTTGGTGGCTGCTTTTCACAACTCGGTTAAGAGAGGCCTGAGTTGGGGAATCAGAATGCTACACGGGACCCCAAGAATCTCTTGGAAAGGGACCAAATTGCCTCTTGCCTGGGGAAAGCAGGCTCCACTCGTTTCCTGGAGCCCTTCAAACCCCACCTCCAGACCCAGTGGCCACCCAGCCCTAGTCCTCAGCACAGCAGTTGCTCCACCCTCCCGTGCTACTCGCCAGACCTGAGTTACAGTGAATGTAGCCAGAGAGAGGGTGGTTCTGGAAAGCAGGCAAGCTCCCTGCTGGGACCCGGACTGCTGGCCATGCCCTGGACCTTCAGGCCCACGTGGCTGGTAGGCAAGGGACTGCCCCTTCTTGGAGCAGTGCTGCTGCAGAAGAGAGAAAATAGAGGACCGCATTGGAGGCAGCGGAGGGTAATGTACTCATCTCATTTGAGAGTGTTGACTACAGAGTCCTGGGGGATGGTGCCCTGTAGGGACTAAGCCAGCTACGGCACTAGGTTTTGATTTAGGGTGGAACATACCACAGACAACCTGGGAAAACTCAAACTAGAGAGATGGGCCAAGACCTTGGCTCTTGAAAGTAATCTCCAAAAAGAAATGATGGCAAGTCCTGTGCCCATTGCCTTGGTTGGTTTACCAGGAATGTGCTAGTCTGGCCACATAACCTACCGTGGAAGGAAGGGACGGGGGGGGGGGGTTGTTGGGGTTGATTGACACCCAGAAGACTGCAATCTGGTGTTATCTTTTTTGAACCCAATCTTCAATCTAGTGACTTGTCAGACCAGTACAAGCTGGGTGACTGCTTCTCTTCCTGCCTTCCCACTCCCTCCATGCCTCTGGTTGGTCTTTCAGCCCTTGCCTAAGAAGCCCATGGGTGCGGTGGGTTCCGGCTTTCTCTTTTAATGTTTAACGTCCTTAAATACATTCTCCCAGTGGAGGGAGCAGCTGCAGGCTGGCCATAATAAAAACCTAACTAGCTTAGCTGCTCAGGATGGCACTTAGCATTGAGCAGATCCAGGCTCCTCACCAGTCCTGACTACCCAACACCCAGGGCCTTGTGAAAGCTTCCCAGAGCTCCTGGCACAGGAGCATCAATGGCCCTGGACCAGGCAAGCTCTGTGGTAAGACAGAGTAGAGGGGCAAAGGAGCCAGAACACACTTGAGAGAGGAATCCAGGCTGTCCCTGGCTTCCCGGAACTGAGTTCCTGGGGTTCTTTTGTTTCAGCAGGAAACCCACCCATATTACGACCTTCAGGTGAAGGTGCTGAGGGCTAGGAATATCCAGCAATCGGATCTGTGTGAGTGAGCCTCACCTCTACCTCCTCCTTTTCTCTAGGGTGTTCTCGTGTGTGTGTGTGTGTGTGTGTGTGTGTGTGTGTGTGTGTGTGTGTGTGTACGTACATGCGTACATGCACAAATACCCACTTGGAGTAGGGTGAAGGGAGGCTGCCCTGGTGTGGGGTGCACAGGCAGGCAGGGTGCCCTGGTGTGGGGTGCACAGGCAGGCAGGGGCACTGAAGGGGTGAGTTGTGTAGACTCCAGCCTCCTCCCGACCCTAGGAGGCTCTGTGAGGGTGTGTTAGGCTCAGGTTGCCACACATCAATGCCTGCTTTCCTGGAGGTGCTCACACAGGGCACAGAATTTTACTGCCTGAATCAGGCAGTTTCAAGGGGTTGCTCAATGGTCTGTGCTGCCACATGACACTTTAAACTGTGGCTGCTGCTGCAGGGTTTCTTGTCAGTTGAGTGGGAGGTATACCTGGCTAAGACAGAGCCAGGAACACCAAAGCTCCCTCACCTGCCCCAGGCGGGTAGCCTCCTGCCCCCTTGCTCCTTTGTCTCAGAGTCCAACCTCCTCCAGGACACTCTTCAACAAGAAGAGTTTGATGCCAAGTCCTCCCCCTCTTACCTGCAGTGTCCAAAGCTGACTGCTATGTCCGACTGTGGCTGCCCACAGCTTCTCCTAGCCCCAGCCAGACAAGGACAGTGACTAACTGTAGTGACCCAGAGTGGAACGAGACCTTCCACTATCGGATCCACGGTGCTGTGAAGGTACAGGCCAGGAAGGTACAGGCAGGGCATGGAGGCCAATGAGTTCCTCCACAACTCTGATCCTTCAGTCCTATCCCCAGAATGTCCTGGAGCTTACCCTTTGTGACAAGGATGTCCTGGACAGTGACCAGCTCTCCTTGCTTCTGTTTGACCTGAGTAGTCTCCAGCCAGGGGCACAGCCTCACACGCACAACTTCCCTCTGAACCAGCAGGTGAGGTCTACCTGGGTTAGCAATAAGTAAATCTCCAGGAAAGAGTCACCCCCACCCCTCTCCTAAGCCACTGACAGGCAGCCATCTTGGTTTGGCCTTGGTCACTGCTGAGTCTGAAACAGTATCTGGCATGTATTTGTGAATGAATGAAGCTCTATAAGGAAATGCTATTGTTCTCCTGTGCCTCTGAGGTGCCATACCAGACTCATCCCCTAGGCCCTAGAGCTGAAAAAGGTGGGAGGGAGGGGCAATCCCTGATTTTTGAAGGTTTTGGAAATTGATGCCTTGCTCACCCCCGTGTAGGATTCTCAAGAGCTGCAAGTAGAATTTACTCTGGAAAAGAGGTGAGTCCAGTTAAAGCTGGTATCTATCTATTTATTCCAAGTGTTGGTCCTCAAGTCCTTCACTTGCCTTAGAGGCCTGGCTTCAGAGAGGACAGCCTGACTGTGACACCTACTTGTATGCTGGGTGACAAGTCTCCATACCCACAACGCTCTCATGCTTTCCAGGCTTCTGTACCTGTTTTGATCATAATGCTTTAATAGCCATGGTAGGGAGGATGATGACCCATGAACCCTTCATCTTTTACAGTC